AGGTTGTCGATTCCAATGGTTCATAAGCCTCACTTGTGAGGTGTTGTAGCACTACATTCAGATCCCAAGCTGGGGCGTGGAACTTCCGCTTTTGGTCCTCCAATCGGAAAGCACGTAGTAAGGCCAGTAACTCTGGCGACTTAGTCAATTTGACACCCGTTCTCATCGTAAGCACAGAACTAAGCTCGGCAAGATATGTTGATAATGTCGAGCCTTTTAAATGTTTGTTTTGGCGAAGGTAACACAAATAGTCTGCCACTTGAGGATGTGTAGCATCTCTCGCTGTAAATCCCTTATTTGCTGCATAATTTTCGAAACTGTGCCACTTGTCGTCGTACAAGTTTCGCGTAGAGTACCGTAAGGCAAGCGTGACCGCTTTTGCCGCCCTGGCAGAATATCCTCTCTTGTTTAAACACATTTTAATACAGTCCATACGCGAAGTTGGAATACTTCTGGGCTTCCGCACCTGTTTGGTGTGTGGATGTATTAACAGATTTGAGCTTTGGGTAGCTCTAGTGCCGGGTTGACCGATTTCTTGAATTAGAATGGGAAACCACGCTCTGGCCTGCCAGTAGGGCTGCACCAAAGTGAGTTGTAGGCTCTGTGTTTGTCTGATTTTCTGTAACACTTGAGGCATTATTACTGGCGGGCGGAAACGCTGCACGCATTGAGGCCTTCCCAGGATATGCTTAGAGCCCGCTGCCCATGCTTGTGGGTCTGGGACTGGTGACACGTAATGTCGGTAGCTGATTGTTGAATCGCGTGGCTTAATAGATCTACTAGCTGCGCTCCTATTTGCTTGATTATCTGTGCAAAGATTTCTGTATTGAGCATCCATTCTGTCGGTGACGGTTGATGTGGCCGAGAGAGCGCCTGCTAGTACATTTCTGGCTCCGGAATGTGACATGCTCTGACATGTAGATTTAGATCGTGGATTAGATCGAACAGTTGAAAGCTTAAGTTCAAAAGGTTCAGTGATCTCGCTGAGCCTTGTCTGTTCACATAGAACGCCACTGTCGATGTTGTCGGTATGAATCATTAGGTGCGATTTTTTGTAGAATGGTGCTCCAATGCAGTATGGCGCTGATTACAGCTTTCATCTCTAACATGTTTATATGGAGCTTGCTTTCTTGCTGATTCCATAACCCTGATGCCGTCCGGTTGGCTTAGATGAGCTCCCCAACCTTGGAGCCACGCTGCCTACATATAGATGGGTTTTGAATTCCTGCTCTGCTAAACAAATCCCTTCGCAGACATTCGATTTCTTTGTCCACCATAGTAGATGAGGTCTGAGATGTTTCGTAGACTGAATGGTTGTAGGTCGCCGAGATGTGCATTGATGAAGACCTGTAAGGGACGAAACTGTAATCTGCCTCTGACTGTCATGTCTTGGGCTGATGTGAGGAGACCTAGTAGGCTCTGCCACCGTCGGCGGTAACGGAGAGAGTAGAGCTGGTGGAATGGTCTGTTGGATCTTGGTCCAACGGTCTTCTGGTACGACGATACGGGTTGAGATTCGCGGATAAATCGAATGCCTAGGAACTGCAGGTCTTGGCGATGGTACTAGGTCCCACTTGAGTAAGTTTACTAACCATCCTAGCTGTGTTAGTAGCTTTATGATGTAGTTTAACTGTAGTTTGAGACGCTGTGGATCTTGATCTACTTGTATCCCGTCGTCGAGGTAAAATGCACTGGCGAGCCCTTGACGATGTAAATAGGCTGATAATCGGTTTCGCTATCCTCGTGGAATAGCCAGGGGCTGATGATATTCAATGGGAGTACTTTCCACTGGTAATGTAGCCCGCCTAGTGTAAACCGTAGGTATTTCCTGGATTCGATGTATGGGGATGTGCAGATATGCATCCTGTAGATCTATACTGCCCATGTAGTCCATGGGGCTTAATCAACTGTCGTGAACTGAGGTAGATGTATCATACCTAAACTTCGTGGTTTGGCGAGATAATTCTTGTTGAAGAAGCTCATGTTGTAAATGAGTCTGTATTTCTCCTTGGAGTTTTTCTTGGGTACTAGGAAAACTGGGGAGTAGAAACCTGGTTCTGCTGTTTCTTTGATCTATTACTTCTATGGCCTGCTTGGTTAGGAGTGATGTAACAGCCTCTCTTAACTTTGGTAGTTGATGTGCCTGTAAGTCTAACTTGTGAGGGTTGACTGTCAGCGAGGCTTGGCCTGTAGTGGGATAAGAAACTGCGGTTGAAGAATGTTGGAGACATAAGGGTCTTGTAACATTCCCCAGTTTTCCCAGTGTAGTTGAAGGCGCCCACCCACTTGTGATGGTTGTACTGGAACGGCTGGGGTGGAAGACTCCAGTCGCTCCAACCTGTCTTTCAACGCTTATAGTTGCGGAACCTCTGGGTGTCCTGCCTCTTCCTGACCCTCCTCTATAGTTGCCATATGGGCTTACGAAAAAGAATCTTTTCCCCTGAGCTGGCTATCTTCCTGTCTCTTGCTCTCTGTAGACCCGCGAATTTAGATCTCCCTGAGTATCTTTGTGAAGTCTGTCGGATGACGCTGGCTAGTGTGTCCATCGATTTAATCATCAGGACTTCTCTGGAATCCTTAGTGACTTCCTTTGGAGACTTTGTCTATTCCTCCGCCAAAGATGGATGGGGAAGACCACGGGCTGTATATAGTGGAGCTGTAAAGTTCTCACCCCAGCTGCAGGAAGCGAGGAGGCCTTGACGACGAAGCTAAGGTCAGTGCTGCTGAGACAGATGTGAGATGATCCGTTAGGAACTGCTGGTCCTTCTTTGCATAAGTAGGGCCGAGTAAATCATTCTATCATCTTCAGAGGTCGTGGTTACTTAAATCTGGTGATAAGTGTCTCATTGATCGCTCTAGATCTATTTAGACCAAAGAACATACGCCTCGGCCATGGTTTCTATCTGAACCAATTTGGCGATCGCCAATCTTGTAGTTCTTGTTCTTGACATCGCTGATCAGCTTGTAGTTTTCATCGATGTCTTGAGCCTTGAAGAAGGGGTCCATGTTATGCGGGAGAACTTCTTGGCGGAAAGTTTGGCAGATGTGGTGTCTGAACTTTCGTGGGCTTTATGGAATGCTGTGTCTAGATTCTGTGGTACCGCAGCAATCGGGTCGATCGGGGGTAGTGTGACAGCATCTGCATCGCCTTCTTCATCAGGTATGTCTGCGCTCGGATTGCCACTTTTGGAAGGTGATGAGAGATCTAGGTTGTTTACCATCCAATATCGTGATCTCTGCATCTGAGAAAATAATTCCTCCATCATCTTCTATTCCAGCATCATTGATGAGAGGTTGGTGCTCTTCTGATGTTGGACTGTGTGGTTCTATCTCTATATCGGGTGACGCTTTGTGGAGACCTGGTTGTAGACTTGTGTGCAGACCTGTGTGGTGATCGACGCGGTGATGTACGCCGAGATCGGGCGCGGTGAACGGCGAGGAGATCGCCTTGGTGATCTACGCCTATGGGTTGACCTTCTCGAGACCTGTGAGGAGAACGCTGATAGCTTCGCTGGCTCTTGTGTAGTCCCTCGATGACTTTCTAGATGATGACGATCTGGGTTCAGGCGCCCTTCGCTAATGCCTTCGCTAAGCTTCCTCTGCGCCCGTCCTGGGGAACGGTGATATGACCTTCGCTGGCTTCCGCGGAGGTCTGGTGGTCTGAGTCCGTGATCTGAGGATGACGCCAAGAAGGTGATGATCTATCCCGCCGCGCTGGGCCTTCGCTACATCTGGGTCCTTCGTCGAGGTGGTCTGTGACTTCCTTCGCTGGCGGTGGCATCGCCGCGGGCTGCTACGCTGACGGGGTGCCTCTGGGGTGCTGTTCACGCTGGAGCCTTCGCGGCTCGACCCTGGGTTGGCTGCTTCTCCAGTCTGTAGTGGCCTCCATCATGATCATGATTTGCCGCATTAGATCGCCTGGGATGGTCTGGCGACGAAGTAGACGGTGCCCTCTGCGATGTTAACGGTGGGGCCCCTCAGGGATTTCGCCTGACATCAGTGTAGAGGCATCAGGCTGCATGGTGATCTCTGCTGAAGTCACTGTAGCTGTCACCGGGTCGCTTCTTGTATGCGATGTCGGGATGATGATCGGCTGGTCATCGTGAGAGGCCCAATTCTGGCGGCTGGAACGATCTCGCTGAGAAAGTTCTTGACGACTTCGTAGATTTTCCTTTGGAGGATGACGCTGCCCTGGGGTACGGGTCTGCGCTGAGAAGACGCTTGAGGCCCTCTTGGACTTTATCTGCGATGACGGGATGTCTGGGGAGGCCGGTCGCTTCTTAGAGGTGACGGATCGCATCCCACGCCTCCGATGGGGTCTCTAGCAGAACACCAGACGGGAGGGGGTCAATCGACAGCAGCTGACTGGATGGGAATTCGGCGTATCGCCATGTCTAACCCTTGTTTGCGGATCTATCTGCAGCACGCCTCAAGACGCAAAGATGGTATTTATTAAAAGCAGAATTAGTTAAATTAATGCAGTAACTGCAACGTGAAATCAAACGCATTGCGCGAGAACAACTAGGGCATACTACATGGATCGGCAGCGAAAAACGTAATCTACAAATAGTACAGATTTTCATCAACGTAATACTAGCTGAACAATCACTTAACTCACGGAATAAACAGTAGAAATAATGATTAATTATCAATACAAATTAATGAAGGATACTAGCTATACCTTTATAGTAAACTATAAGAGGTAACTAACTAAGAAAACCAAAGGATATAGTGTGTAAGGAGACACAGGCGCTCTCACATCCTGCTCACTGGGCTTAAGAAGGAGAGAGTGAAGCATGAGGCCAGAGGGTGGCTGACACCTGTTCCCGCCAAAAATGGCAAAGGGAGGCAACTCTTGGTGAGTACCAATTAGTGATTTTACATTGAAGGGAGCTTCAATTAAGGAGATACAAGTGTTCCACTATGTTCGCAAGAAGAAGAAGACAAGCAAAAGAGCATGAGTCAGGATAAGGAAAATGAATATTCCAAGAACTTCCTGTAGCTCCACCTGTTTGGACTTCTCCTGGCGTAGCGCCTCTTCATGGGAAAACCTTGTTGAACGTATAGCTTCGTTCAGCCTCTCTATCTCCACCTTAACCTCATCCCGCTGGCTGTGCGCTTCCCGTAGATTCTAGAAGCACAATTGCCAACTTGTACATTTGACTGACATTAATGGCACCATAGGTAGGGGTAGTGGGGATTTCACCAGTGTGTGAAAGTCCTGTAGAGAAATTACAATTGGTGACACAGTTAATGCAGCCCTTGCAATAGGTGAGAAGACTTTGTGACATTATGACATTGTGCCTGACTCACTGATGGACCGATGGATTGACCAACTGAAGGACTGATGGACCGATGGACTGATGGACCAACTGAAGGACTGATGGACCAATAGACTGATGGACCAACTGAAGGACTGATGGACCGATGGATTGACCAACTGAAGGACTGGTGGACCAATAGACTGATGGACCAACTGAAGGACTGATGGACTGACTGAAGGACTGATGTACCAAAAGACTGATGGACCAACTGAAGGACTGATGGACCGATCGACTGAAGGACTGGTGGACCAATAGACTGATGGACCAACTGAAGGACTGATGGACTGACTGAAGGACTGATGGACCAAAAGACTGATGGACCAACTGAAGGACTGATGGACCAATAGACTGATGGACCAACTGAAGGACTGATGGACCAATAGACTGATGGACCAACTGAAGGACTGATGGGCCAATAGACTGATGGACCAACTGAAGGACTGATGGACTGACTGAAGGACTGATGGACCAATAGACTGATGGACCAACTGAAGGACTGATGGACCAATAGACTGACTGATGGAATAGACTGATGGACTGACTGAAGGACTGATGGACCAACTGAAGGACTGATGGACCAATAGACTGATGGACCAACTGAAGGACTGATGGGCCAATAGACTGATGGACCAACTGAAGGACTGATGGACCAATAGACTGATGGACCAACTGAAGGACTGATGGACCAATAGACTGATGGACTGACTTAAGGACTGATGGACCAATAGATTGATAGACTGACTTACCTGTTCGAGCTGCCCGGAGATGTTCTTCTGACTCCTGGATGTTCTCCTCCAGTGTCTGCAGCTCCGTCCGACTTTCTGGAACATCACCACAACAACTCAGACATGGAGCCAGGCTCTCCAGCATCTTACAATGTGATGCCAATCAGCAGCAAAATGGTGTATATTTTTGTTATATGCAAAACTAAGAAACATGCAAGCTACCTGACTGTGGTCTGCAATCATCTCTTGACATGACAATGTAATAAACAATACTGAAAGCAAAGATCCACACCATCGCAGCACAATGACATGCTACCAACAGTTAGTCACACAGCCCCACCATCTAACCACACACCAGAGGCTGCACCCAGAATTCCTATGTGTTTCTACTGCAAGATGAGCTTCAGAGGCACAGATAAGCTGCGTATCTGTGTAAATTACACAAATATTTATGTGAAAACTCAACTCGTATTAAGTGTATTGCGTTCAAGTGTATTGTGTTCAAGTACACAATAAATTTGATCTTACATGCGTACACACAAAAATGTGATAGAAATTACCAAGGTCAGATCAAATAACTGAGGTATATTGAGAGATTCTATTTCCGGACATGAACTTGGCAGTCTTTCTTATTGTTTCTCATATTACAGATCAAATACGAATAACAAACATGTAAACCAACATCTAAACTTTATTATATTTTTACAATAATGGAAAATGGAAAATTACCCAGTTGTGTTTGAGTGAAGTGGGTACAATTTATTTGGTTACTCAAAGGAAAATAAGGATACCAAATTGAGATGAACACAAGCGAGTACATAACTCAATGACCCCAAAAGTTATCTGTAGCTCTGGACTTGATATACATTATGACAGCAGGAAGACTAAAAGTGCCATATTATGGTAGCAAGAAAAGAATTCATTCAGTCCCTGCATCACGACAGTAGTTACCTTTGACGTTCTGTTTGAGAGAGCTGACATCCTTCTGCATGAGTGACCTCTGATGATTGGAATCATCCATCTCTCGTTCACGCTGTCGGAGTTCCGACTCCACCCTCTCCAACCTGTCAGATGATGACTCAATCTTCTCATCCATGATCCGATGATTCCTACAACATACAATAAGTCACATTCCAAGACTTAGTACATTCCATGATCTGTCACATTATAACATTTCATTTTCACAAGGGGGAGGAATATTTATATATTACATGTACATGTATCTCAATAGGTTGAAACAAAGCTAGTCAGTTTCAGTTACACTTTATATTCTCTCGCCAGAAAGAAAGATTAGTAGTCACAGGCTACTGGACAAGTCGTTTTTCCCTCCCTGTGCCATCAACTGGAAGGCCAGCAGCACCCCCAGCTATCTGTCAACCCACCGTTTCATCTGGTTGAGCTTGTCGTCCAGGTTCTTGCAGTTCTCGTTCAGCATGTCCCGCTCTCGTACCAAGGTGGAGATACGGTCCTCTAGCGCCTGCTTCTCCAACGTCAGGTGGTCCACGTCCTGTCTCTCTCGTTCCAACGTCTGCCGCAACCTCTCCACCTCCGATGACTTCCTGTTGGTCTCGGTGCTCAGCTGTTCCAGTTCCGACTTCTCCTGTGAATATAAAAGTAACATTTGGGTTAATCAATAAATCCTTTTGCTGGACTTTGTTTTGAAAGCAGTGAGTTTTGTTTTACATCTGTTTTAGCAATATTCCAGCTGTGTCATGGCAGAAGACAACATGACGTCACTTCCTGTCAAGGCAGTGGTACTGGGGAGGTATTCAGACAGCTGAAGTCTTCACTTGCCATCATCCCGAGATGGGTACCACGTGTGAAACATGCTGTTAGACAATTTCAGATTTAAACTCCACATCAATCTTAATGATGGGTTAAACTATACATAAGTTAAAATTTCCAAAGGCAAACTGATTTAAGAATTAAGAATTTAAGATTTAAAATGATTTCCATTCAATAACTTATTCCATCGTAGGAAAATGTCCCTGACCTCTATCAGTGCCCTCTGTGTTTTCTCCAGCTCGGCGATCTTCAGGTTGTGTTGAGCCTTCAGGTTCTCCAGCTCTGTCTGCTCATACTTCTGCATCTCATACACATGCTTCAGCTCCGTCTTGTGCTTGTTGACCGAGCTGATGAGTCGCTGAAGGACTTCATCCTCCTGCTCCGTCTCCCCCTTCAGCCGAGCCAGCTCCGCCCGCTTCGACTTGATCAGATTCAGAATGTCCAACTTCTGCTGCTCAGTTGTCTTGATGTGTTCTCTCTGATCCTGTTGGCAATGAGATCATAAGTGTGTTGGCTAGGAGATCATAAGTGTGTTGGCAATGAGATCATAAGTGTGTTGGCTAGGAGATCATAAGTGTGTTGGCAATGAGATCATAAGTGTGTTGGCTAGGAGATCATAAGTGTGTTGGCTATGAGATCATAAGTGTGTTGGCTAGGAGATCATAAGTGTGTTGGCTAGAGATCATAAGTGTGTTGGCAATGAGATCATAAGTGTGTTGGCAATGAGATCATAAGTGTGTTGGCTAGGAGATCATAAGTGTGTTGGCTAGGAGATCATAAGTGTGTTGGCTAGGAGATCATAACTGTGTTGGCTAGGAGATCATAAGTGTGTTGGCTAGGAGATCATAAGTGTGTTGGCAATGACATCATAAGTGTGTTCGCAATGAGATCATAAGTGTGTTGCTAGAGATCATAAGTGTGTTGGCTAGAGATCATAAGTGTGTTGGCTAGGAGATCATAAGTGTGTTGGCAATGAGATCATAAGTGTGTTGGCTAGGAGATCATAAGTGTGTTGGCTAGGAGATCATAAGTGTGTTGGCAATGAGATCATAAGTGTGTTGGCAATGAGATCATAAGTGTGTTGGCAATGAGATCATAAGTGTGTTGGCTAGGAGATCATAAGTGTGTTGGCAATGAGATCATAAGTGTTGGCTAGGAGATCATAAGTGTGTTGGCAATGAGATCATAAGTGTGTTGGCTAGAGATCATAAGTGTGTTGGCTAGGAGATCATAAGTGTGTTGGCTAGGAGATCATAAGTGTGTTGGCTAGAGATCATAAGTGTGTTGGCAATGAGATCATAAGTGTGTTACGCAATGAGATCATAAGTGTGTCGCAATGAGATCATAAGTGTGTTGGCTAGGAGATCATAAGTGTGTTGGCAATGAGATCATAAGTGTGTTGGCTAGGAGATCATAAGTGTGTTGGCAATGAGATCATAAGTGTGTTGGCTAGGAGATCATAAGTGTGTTGGCTAGGAGATCATAAGTGTGTTGGCTAGAGATCATAAGTGTGTTGGCAATGAGATCATAAGCGTGTTGGCTAGGAGATCATAAGTGTGTTGGCAATGAGATCATAAATGTGTTGGCTAGGAGATCATAAGTGTGTTGGCTAGGAGATCATAAGTGTGTTGGCTAGGAGATCACTAAGTGTGTTGGCAAAGAGATCATAAGTGTGTTGGCAATGAGATCATAAGTGTGTGGCTAGGAGATCATAAGTGTGTTGGCTAGGAGATCATAAGTGTGTTGGCAATGAGATCATAAGTGTGTTGGCAATGAGATCATAAGTGTGTTGGCTAGGAGATCATAAGTGTGTTGGCAATGAGATCATAAGTGTGTTGGCAATGAGATCATAAGTGTGTTGGCTAGGAGATCATAAGTGTGTTGGCAATGAGATCATAAGTGTGTTGGCAATGAGATCATAAGTGTGTCGGCTAGAGATCATAAGTGTGTTGGCTAGGAGATCATAAGTGTGTTGGCAATGAGATCATAAGTGTGTGCTGGCAATGAGATCATAAGTGTGTCGGCTAGGAGATCATAAGTGTGTTGGCAATGAGATCATAAGTGTGTTGGCTAGGAGATCATAAGTGTGTTGGCTAGGAGATCATAAGTGTGTTGGCAATGAGATCATAACTGTGTTGGCAATGAGATCATAAGTGTGTTGGCAATGAGATCATAACTGTGTTGGCAATGAGATCATAAGTGTGTTGGCAATGAGATCATAAGTGTGTTGGCAATGAGATCATAAGTGTGTTGGCAATGAGATCATAAGTGTGTTGGCAATGAGTTCATAACACTGATGACAAACAGATAAAATGCAGGTGCTTCAGAACCCCCACCACAGACTACAACAATGAGAAGCCTACCCTGAGCTCCCTGTGCTTGCTGGTGATCTCCGTCTCAGCTTCTCTCAACACAGAGCTGAGGTCAGTCTGCCGTCTCTCCATCGCCTCAGTCATCAGCTGCAGCTCCGTCTTCTTCTTCCCCATCGTCTGGTCCAGCTTCTCCAGCTCTGCCCGCTGACTGTCCAGCTGAACACAGACAGACACCAGTCACAAAAACACTTCACACACAGACAGCTGAAGATGTTCTACATACTCAGTCAAGCTACAGTGTGCTGCTTAATGGAAAAAAACACTGTAATGGGTTAAACTGCAGCATGACCAATGCCATGGCCTCAGACCACATGACAGTGCTGAAGCCAACAGTATTTCAGCTACAATGTCAGTAGGAAGGCTTGAAGAGATGTACCTCACGGATGGTCATCAGAGTCCAGGATGTGAATGGTTTCTGGCACTATGCACATATGAAACTACATGACTGGCCTATCCACGATCAGTGGTAACAGCTTTCACACACAAACTGGTGACTGACTGAACAAGTATCATGTCTTGTTGTCAAGGCAACAAAGACTACTGAATAAGGGTTGTTGGACACATTAGTAGCTTGTTTGTATTTTTTACAGGTATAAAGTGTAATTCGGCCAAACTGATGTTCAAAATAGTTGAGTTAGTGTTCTTAATGCTGCAGTCAACACTATTTTGGCTACGTCAAAGGAGCCTGTAAACACCAGTGACACCCTGAACGGCCATGGCAGCCAAGTATTGGGCACATACCGTCCCACAGATCGGAAAGACAAGTCTGGGATTGAGGACATTTTTAGTCCGGAATCCCTATGGGGAACATATTTGATAACAACATATTTGATAACAACATATTGATAACAACATATTTGATAACAACATATTGATAACAACATATTTGATAACAACATATTGATAACAACATATTGATAACATATTGATAACAACATATTTGATAACATATTGATAACAATAACAACATATTGATAACAACATATTTGATAACAATAACAACATATTGATAACAATAACAACATATTGATAACAACATATTGATAACATATTTGATAACAACATATTGATAACAACATATTGATAACAACATATTTGATAACAACATATTGATAACAATAACAACATATTGATAACAACATATTGATAACAACATATTTGATAACAACATATTGATAACAACATATTGATAACAATAACAACATATTGATAACAACATATTGATAACAACATATTGATAACAATAACAACATATTGATAACAATAACAGCATATTGATAACAACATATTTGATAACAACATATTTGATAACATATTTGATAACAACATATTTGCAACACCAGGACCTGCAGCAAACAGACCAATCAACATCCAGAACATGCAAAGTGAGGTGAAACAAAGTCATTATGTCTTCGTCCTTCCATGGATGCTTTGATTATTTCTTGACGTTTATATATCGGCATTCTACTGCTGCTGCTGTCATTACTGCATGTTTCTAGCAATTTGTTATGAACCTGAATCAAAATAAACTAAACAGATCCAAACGTCTCACATTTTTTACAATTTGTAGTCTTTGCCATTTTGATGGATGTTACGCTAGTTAAAATATGTATCAAATGTTATGGACATAAAATGTGCGCAAATACAGTTACCTTTTGATCACAGGAAACAGATGATAATTTAACTTGACTTCTCACTGATAAACACTTTGCCAATGTGAAAAATGTCAATGTGCTAGTATTTCCCCAAATCATCGCGATTCCTATCGATCAGTCTTCAAAATCCTAGCATACTGGTCATTACTACGCTACTCAATCATCTATTATTATTATGATTATCCATGTTGGACGAAGACAATGAATGACGTTAACCCACCTGAGCTGTTGCCACACTAAACACACCATGCATCAGTTAGTATAGTATGAGGTTAGGATGAGCTGCAGTACCCAAGGTTAACACGTCCACGAGGTCAGAAGCAAACACAGCACACAGTAAGCCTTGCTAGCAGCTGAACACAGTAAGCCTTGCTGGCAGCTGAACACAGTAAGCCTTGCTGGCAGCTGAACACAGTCAGCCTTGCTGGCAGCTGAACACAGTAAGCCTTGCTGGCAGCTGAACACAGTAAGCCTTGCTGAACACAGTAAGCCTTGCTGGCAGCTGAACACAGTAAGCCTTGCTGGCAGCTGAACACAGTAAGCCTTGCTGGCAGCTGAACACAGTAAGCCTTGCTGACAGCTGAACACAGTAAGCCTTGCTGGCAGCTGAACACAGTAAGCCTTGCTGGCAGCTGAACACAGTAAGCCTTGCTGAACACAGTAAGCCTTGCTGGCAGCTGAACACAGTAAGCCTTGCTGACAGCTGAACACAGTAAGCCTTGCTGGCAGCTGAACACACACTGTTCCATGTTAAAAAAACCCAGACCAATTTTGACTTGTTTTACATAAAAATCAAGACTGTGTCAAAGTCTGTTTGACTGGAGCTGTCCTTCAAAGGACATTTTGTAAGTGACGTCCTTAATGAACCTGTTTTTGAAAGATGCATCTGTAAACCAAGAAACGTAATTGGTCCGGCCTTCTTTTTTTAACATTGACTTGATGGAGATAACTAATACAGTACAAAACACTGCTAGTAAATAAGGTGATAGTGTCATCCATTGTGGAACTGTCTCCAGTCACGTGACTGGAAACATCAACAGCTGCAAGATAATGAACAAAATATTCTTCCCTGAAATCATTTTATGCCCAAAATAGGTTATTGAACTTTAAACCAAAAAAAACCCAAAACAGTAAAAATTTGGCAAGAATAACTGTTTTGAAGCTATGTTTTGTCATTTTAAAAATATTCACACCCATAGATTGCTTGTAAAGAAACCATCATTCACAATCATGAGGAAAAACAAGGGAGAAAATCACGCAAAGGGGAGACAACCATGCAAAGGGGAGATAACCATGCAAAGGGGAGGTAACCATGCAAAGGGGCGCCATGCAAATTTTCCAAAACCATCACAAGAAATGAAACACACGTTAGGTCAAGGTCAGGTAAAAGTTCAAGGTCACTGAAGTAATACAAGAAGTACACACCTTGGAGCCCATGGCGCTCTTAACCTTGGAATACTGGTCAAGAAGTGAAGAATAATGGTCAAGACGATAACAGAATATCTAGTGCAAGGACATACTGGTCTAAGGGACTGATGGGATGATATTCCCGGACACATGTGTTACTAACTGAAAGTAATGTGAACAAATCATGAGTTCTTAGACTTTGTGAAGAATACATAAGTGAGTAGTACACGTGAATAATACATCTATAAAAGTGAATAAAGTCAAGCTGCTACTATTATTGTGAATATGGTGACAGCATGGGACTGCAGCATTCATGAGGATGAACGGTTGCCGTGACAACAACACGTACCTGATCTCGTAACCGTGACAACTCCATGCGTCGTTTTGACAAAATGTCGTCACTTTCTCGTAGAGCATCTACATGTTCCTTCTCCTTCATCTGGGATGTTTTCAGTTCCGAAGACACCCGATGCAAGCTGAAACCGAAATTCACACTTAATCAAACAAACATATTTTTGAAAATTTAATATTCATGACCATATTGGACCCACGCCTCACAAAGTAATACAACCAGTTATGTTTATGTATAATTATAACAATACAACATCTATTATATCATAATCAATAATTCACATGTTGGCTAAAATATTTAGATTTCCAACAAATGTTCTCTCACCACAAACGTATCTAACAGTTTTGAGGAAAACACTATACTTAGCAACTGCGTATGTATAAGACAGAAAAATGTTTGGGTTCGTTTGGGACCATTCATAATTTATAGCGGGGGGATGACGATTTTAAGGGCAGGTGGGAGGGTCATCAATTTTGTACATACACCTATTCAAAAATAATGCCTAAAAATTATGGGAAGGGGGAGGGTTCATTGATTTTGTACATGATCTGCAAGGGGGGGCACTTACTTAGTATGCAAATTTTGTTTTTGGGGGGTGGGTGGGGTGGGTGTGTGTGTTGTAATTCACATTGTACATGCTTCTCCATAAAAATCATCGTCACCCCATTGCCATAAATTATGAATGGTCCCTTAATGAGGCAGCCCAGACAGTAATCCAGCATTTATAGATTTATGGATGTAAATATCTGATACATATAATTATGTGACCTTGACTAACACAGTGAACAATAAGATGGTTACTATGATACTGGCAGCTTGACAACTAATATCACATCCAACATAGAAACAGGTATTGTCAATATCACCCTAACCACAAATGACTCACTTCTTTGTTGAGATTTTAAGTTTTGAGTCAACCTCTTTAAATTCGCTATCCTTCTTTGCCAAAACCTGAAACAGAAAACATGAGTGAGAACAGTCTTCGAGCAATATCACAGTAAGTCAGCTTAAAGAACGAGAGAGCCAGAGGTGATGCAGGTGGAAGGTTGTATATGTTTTCCATGGAATCCTAGAACCAGGCGAGCTGAAACGTGGTTTTACATGGCGTTACTGCACTTATAGAGCGGTGCGTGTTAAGGCAGGCGTGTTTTAATGCTGCTGACGTACCAAGCTGACCATTCCTTCTTCTATCCCCTGAATGCTCACAGCCAGGCAACAACAAACATCTTTTAGCTAATGAAGTTAGTTTTATGCCACACTCAGCCATATTCCAGCTATATGGTGGAGGTCTGTAAATAATCTAGTCTGAATTAGACAATCCAGTGATCAACAGCATGAGCATCGATCTTCGCAATTGGGATACAATGACATGTGTCAACCAAGTCAGTGAGCCTGATGACAAGTATGGGTTACTGAACATCAATTCCAACCCGGATCTACACGGGTCAAACATCTTTTGGGATGACAGACAGGGATTGAACCACTGACTTTCAAACACTCTATCGACTAGACCACAGAACTGAAGTCTGGCCAGACACTCTATCCACTAAACCATTTAATTGATCCAAGTATGGTTTATCAAACCACCGCCATGATCAAGGCACTTCTCCGATTGCCGAGGCATGTAACTCTGCCCTGCTCCAATGTAACTGAACCTGAGAAGATCCGGGTTAGAATATTGATCTTCAGCAACCCATGCTTGTCGTAAGAGGCGACAAACAGGAACGGGTGGTCAGACTCGCTGACTTGGTCGACACATGTCATCATATCTCAATTGCGTAGATCGATGCTCATGCTGTTGATCACTGGATTGTTTAAGTCAGACTAGATTATTTACAGACCGCCACCATACAGCTGGAATATTGCTGAGTGTGGTGTAAAACTAGACTGACTCTGATCAACTCTGATAACAACCCTCAATAAGTGATCTATATTTTACTAGAAATAATTCATGGCAGTAATTTCCAAGCGTGTGACTTCACATGACTTCTTCTCACCTGCATGACCTCATGAAGTAACTTCTCCTGCTTCTCCCTCTTCCTCTCCAGCCCCCGGACCTCGGTCCTGAGTGAAGCGAGCTGTTCCTGCGTCTTGACCAGCTGGATCCCAGACTCGGTGGCTCTCTTCTCAAGCTCCTTGGCCTCAAGAGCAGTGGTCTGCAGGTTGACTGAGGCAGTGTCGTACTTCTTCACAGTGTCACGGGCCTGGACACAGACAAGAGAAATACAAAATATAGAGGAACCATAAAAATAGAAATATAATACAACGGGGACACATGTAACAGGATCATGATTTTAATTGTTCTGATACATCACCTAAGATAAAACCACAATGTACAATAAAAGAAGAAATAAATAATAAACTTTCAAACAAAGGACATTTGGGAACAGAGCTCCAGATAAGATTTAGCTCATGTGGGTACTGTACCCACTGTATTTTTTTGGAGTGGGTATTATGAATGTTGAGTGGGTATTTCATTTTCCGTTACCCACTGCTTTCAAATATGTGCGTATTTCAGTCATTTTACTCACCTAAGTATTATGTCATTGAGTAAGTTTACTAAGCAGGTATGTTCTGCCTTATGTCATACCTAATCAAAACCAACTTAAATATAATGGAAATTATTTCATAAAAAATCACTCATCCTATACTGACAGTACAACACTTGTCCTTTACTATCAGTACAACTGATAGCAATCGATGTCTTTTTCATTACGCAAAGCGATTTTTATAAATATATTCCGTGACTCATTTGTTTTAAACTTTTATGTTATCTAACATTTTAAATGGGTAATTGGTAATGCTAGCAATTATTTTTCAGCTGTGAATTGGAAATTTTATATGCATTTTTACCCGGATACGCAGTTTATCTGGGCCTCTGTGGGAATAATTTGATATTATATTTATCACATTTTCAAAATCGTTGCCAATTCTGGGTGCCGTTGTACAAAACAACCTTAGTGCTAAGGTGATTGTAACTCCCATGCCTTAACACAGACTTACGACAGTCTTAGCGCTAAGGTTGTTTTGTAGAACGGCACCCTGGACACCAATCAGTTAATGATCTATAATACCTCTGTTAAAGAGAGCCACACATATACTGGCTCAAGCAATGAAGGGTCTTAATTCATTCTTAGGTCTCTTCAAATATTCTTTGATGATAGTCTTTGAATATATTAAAAAACAAAAGAGTTGAGATCCACAAAATGATCAACGATCTATGTCTGTTGTATCACCATAATTAAATGTAGATAAAATGAAGGACAAAGAATTTTTCTTTTTAGACAGTGTCAAACCAATCAACCTACCTTGAGCTAAACTGAAGTAGAGAGCGATATTTACTCCAACCATTTTAACTTTGTACAGCCATGACACAGGTAGAGAGTTATCTGCCCCTACCTGTTCGCGGGCATCCTTGAGGTCAGTGTTACACTCCTTCAACAGCTTGTCTGCCTCCCGTAACTGCCCGGTCCTCTTGGCGAGAGTCTTCTCCAGACACGCGATCTCATCCTGCAGGAATGTCTGACGGCTGCGACACTCCGACTCATCCAAGCTGTCGTCTTCTTCGTACTTCCTCTGTCTAAGGGGCAAATAGTTCAAGTTACTTATTTGTGCAGGCTTTAACAACACTGGCAGAACCTAAATGATACATAGTCAGAAAGTGATCAGACCCGAGGTATATGATATCATACTGCTTCACAATAGGCAATAGAACTGTAGCCTTGAAATAACTCTTGGAGATAACGTGAAATAACGGAGTCTGAAGCTGTGACACCGGTGGTTGAGATGATGATCAATCCATAAGTTGGTCAATCCATTGTCAAATACAGTAAAGCCTTGTTAATCCGACGGTTAGTGCAAATTCGTCCGTTTTCAATCGTCCGACTACTGAATCACGACTCCAAGTTCAAGCAAGAGTTGCTTCCCTTACTATTACAAAAACGACACGACTTGGATAAAACAAATAAGCATTTAATGTAAAGCTTATAAAACGATGAATAGCAAGCACAACAATAAATAATAATTACAGAAAAAGTCTTTCATAGTTGTTTTTTGTTCGCTTAACCTTCCTCATAGCAAAAGTCTTTCATAGTTGTTTGTGTTCTTTTTAACCTTCTTCATTGAATTCTTCACATCAATAATTTTACCGAGTCAACTTGTCACTTCCATGACACCGAAGTGTTTATTGTTTGAGGCCAGTTAAAAACATCGCCGGAGGTGTTGTTACGGTTCGTGAACACGACTTACAGCGTCCGGACTGTGAAGCAATTTACTGTTTATTTTACTGATTGGTGACAGCTACTTATCATCCGGGTTCCAGAAACCCGACTTCTGGATTATCGAGGCAAATTATATAGGCATAGATTGGTAACAAGCTGAAATCGTCCGGGAGGCTTAGACATCCGGATTATCGGGTCCGAACTAACGGGCTTCACTGTATTAGTTATAATGAGTGAGTGTGGTTTTACACCACTTTTAGCAGTATTGCAGCAATATCACAGTAGGACACCAGAAATGGGCTTCACATTGTACCCAGGCCTTCAGGGTGATGACTGAACACTCTAACCCTAGACTATACCTTATTATTTATAATGTGTTGAAAATTAAAAAGAAAAGGTATTGTGACTGTTAACCTTCTCTCACAGGAAGCTTGGGTTGTATACTCCCCAAGGAGTTGAGAATGACTTTCAATCCTGTACATTATATGTTAGTAAGACAAGTCAGTCCCATCCTTCATCTCCCACACTAAAAACTAGAATCACTGACTTGTTCTTGATGGTGCTCCTCATGTTCCTCATGCGGAGGAACTCCAGCTCCTCCTTGGCTGACGACCTCTTCTCCCGGATGCTCTTCTCATTATACTTCAGTTTCTTGAGGTTCTTCTTCTGCCTCTCAATGGCAAGGTCAAGGCCTTCCAGCTCATCTCGACGATCCTGCAGAATGACATTTCTGAATTATTTGGGTGCAGTTGAATTAAATGAATGCTGTAGATACACAATCTGACCCAACTAAGTTGCCTAATCTGACTCAATTTCTCTACCCCAGGTCCCTTTGGATATCATGGATTGAAGGTGTGCATGTGTTGACAGGGAAACACATGGGAACAAATCAGGCGAGCAAGACATCAGGGCCTAGATTTTCGAAGCTGTCTTAGCTCTAAGATAGTCGTAAGTGCCATACATTAACATTAACGACTATCTTAGCGCTAAGAGAGCTTCGAAAATCTAGGCCCTGGAAATTTGGAGGACTGGTTGTTTTGCTCTTGTAAAACCTGATTTCACATCATTTGTGGAAATTAAGTACCATAATGCATGACATCTATTTATGTGAAACACAGTACATTGAGGGCATGAATTCACATTAAAAATGCTCTCCTCCTTTCCCACCCGAAAGACCACCTCTCCCTCTCACCTCCAGCTCGGTCTTGAGTCTGTGGATGAGCCTCTTCTCTTCATCCATAATTATCTCCTCATGAATGTCCTGTAACCATAGCAACACTCATACTGAGCAGGTTCATCAGCAACCACTTGATTTACTTATATGTGAACTACGACAGACCGTATTACCCGAGGCAACGTATTTATCTTACCGCCATGTTAAATGTACAAACTATAATTTTATTTTATTTTAAAGATCACTACCGACTATATGACATGTAAACAAAATGGCGTCTGCCCCTCGACTGGATTATTTTAATCAGTGAAACATATTCTGACAAGGTTAACACTGCTATAAAAATGGTTAATTATGTTTAAGTTGAGTGTGCAAACGATTCAATGTATATAATAGTTTAAATAAAGAAGTGAAAGTCGGTAAAATAAATCTGTACGTAGTGAACTCAAAAACACCTAATCGAACGGTTTTCGAACTCCAGACTCTGCATGCGTCATATTATGACGTCATACGATTGTTAGCGATACAGCTTCTCAGCGGAGAGTTTTGCGGGTTACCGTGGCAGCAGGTAATATTTTTTCCAGTTGTCACCCTCCTGGGAGGGGTGACACGGAATCTTGTTAAAACGTCATTGACCACATTCTCTTCCCACAGAGGTTACTTGTCATATCTTCCTACGAACCTCTGTTCCAATACGGCCATATTTCCCGGTTCTCGTAAAATCCCCTAGCGGCAAAAGATCGCAACACGAATTATCTCCCTTCTTTCTATCCAATCAGAACACGTGTTACATCGACTTAGATTCAACTTGACTAACACAAGCAAATGCGGGGCCACAAATATCCCCCATCTGCCGGGGAATTGTGTTGATGTTACACACAAGACGTTTAATGGCTAGCTTGTCCGTTGTCTACGAGGGCGATGGAGACGCCACTGATCCGCCATAACATGACTGAGTTCTGTCTAGAGGAAACGTTTGCGCATCGCGCAGGGGAAGAAATTTAGTTTTTCTCGAAGCATACGGAAATTACCGAGGCCTTGCGAATGGTCACTTTTGAAACAACGTCGCTGATTGCACAACTAACTCTGATTGTCTCCAATCACGAGTCTTGAGCGCTCACACCACGAAAGGGCCGTATTAGAACAGAGGTTACGTGGGAAGATATGACAGGAGTAACCTCTGTGGGAAGAGAATGCATTGACCAATGAAATTAAAGTATTTCACAATTAAGATAACAAGCAGTGTCTGAAACCCAATACCATTTGGAAAAACCATATAGAGAAATCCTTGTAATATAAAACCCATCTTCAGTACATTTACTGTTTGGAACATCCTCAGAAAATTAAAGGACATTACATTTTTACAGCTCTTGTTAATCTGACCTATTTCTTTGCACTTCCTGTCTGGATTAGCAAGGGTTCAATGTGACCTATGCTGTTGCACTCTCCTACCCAGTGCTCCATGCGGCAAGCCAGCATAGTATCTCTGCCACAGGCCAGAAAGATGACGATTCATCGCATCTTACACAGTCCATTTAATATAATCTACATATTTCTTAACTCTTTTATTTTTGATGAGTCTACACATCTAACTAAACATCTTTGATAGAATGGTTAGTTTCACCGAGAAAATATCCTAAAACATGTAACACTATTTCGATTTGCGTAGTGATCCTTCGTTTACATATAGGTTGTACGGCTCCACATGCTGTCCTGTCATAAACCTAACTGTCGAAGTTGTGGAAGAATATATATGTAACAATGTAAAACATTATGAAGAGCGAGCCGAAAAGCTTGCCTAAGACCAGTCTCTTCTTATTGTGAATATGCGCGCTTGTTTACAAACAAGAGAAAACTCCGGTCACGTGATATGCAAATTAGCCTGTGGCAGTGATGTTATGCTGAGTCATCACTGTGCCGGAGTGTGATGCTGTTGCCGTATCACACCAAGAACTTCATCACAAGAAGTTATCCATGTAATCTGTAGTAATGATGTGTCAATATCACAAACCTCTTGATGTGAAATCTTGATTTGAACTTTTCTCAGTTTCTCCTGCAGTTCAGCAATGTAGTCCTCCTGTAGAACACAACACAAGATTAAACTTCAATGCTAAAACAGCCATGAACCAGGAAAATGTGAACTTTCCAAATAATAAGTTGGAAGGAGTAAGAATATACTTTGAAACGTCGTGACCCGTCACAATAAAGTTGACATCCATAAAATTCTTGCCTGTATGTGCATCACTTCTAAATGCCCTTCAAAGAACCTAAGACTAATCAAATTAATAATCCAAGCCTAAATATTTAACATTTATTTTTAAACATTTGTGTTTACTTAACACATGCACAAATGTACATCCATAGTTAAGCTTAGCTTATGTAGACAGCTTGGGTAGTTCTGGAGCTTTGAGGGTGATGGCTATTGTCACTGGGTCGGTGACTGGCTTGGCCTGTGATTAGGGTCTTATTGTTCTCTGGTTCTGTATGATCTCGTCAATCATGTCGATACCCTGGTCAGAATTGGAGTGGTCAGTTGGCATATTTCACTCTACATCTTCTAAGGGCAGTTCTCTTTACTGTGTCACAAAGGGTAAGTTCATTTGATTTATACTTTAATTTTCAAGAAACTTATGTCACTCATAGCTGAAGCACTTTTGTATTTAGCTAGCACTTATTCTATATCCTGTAATGTATTCTTAATTTAACTCTTTGTTTATTTACTATACTTCAGAAATAATTATTTCTCATCATCTGTAATAAGGAATCATTGGAAAGATTTCCGACCATAACCTGCACTTTTTTTAATCATGCTATGCCTAAGAATAGACGTTTTATATTCTAAAAAACAAAATTAACCCTAACCATAAACCCTCAAAGGAAACCTAATTCAAATAGTATACATTTCAAGCGGGTTATGGGCGGAACTCTTACTGGATCATTTAGTTCGTATTTTTAAAGAAATAGAATTGTTTCATAAATTCTAACTAACATGTGTTCTATACAATGCATTCCTTATGGTGCATTAACTTAGCTACAGAAATTGATAGTGGCTTGGTCCTTTGATGTGTCCGCATGGTCGCTTGCATGATGGCCTAAACATAATGGTTGCTGGCAATGCCTTGTTGGGTGTAGTGATGTTATATTATCTCAGACCATTAGAGTAATGACAACCAGCCCTTAACGTTTACGACTGATATATAAAGGTCATTACAGATATGAAAGCCCAAACCCATGTTCCAACATAATCTTAATGCCGCAATGATAAGCCTAATCTAAACAGTAGAGTTATAATCATCATAGTGCTAAGATCGCTCGTTGACAACTGAGCCCCAGAACTGTTAACCTTTAGTCTGGAGAATTAATTTCAGTGTAAGGCGCTGTGAACAGGGTGAGTGAGTTCGAACAGTTGGGGCGTCATTTAATATGGAACAACTGAACCAATAATATGCACCTTTATACTAGATAGAAAAATGAACATAATTATTCAAAATATGTGGGGATGTCATTATGCAACTGTCCTGTTGAACAGGTTTGATAGCAGCATTCACAAGATAAAACAAAGTATTTTTAGCACTTTGATTGTACTTCCCATATTTTTACACATTTAGGATAGAAACAGTGTTCAGATCACTTTCTGAAACACATGCCAAGGAACTGATAAACTCTCATGCTTCACAGACTTAGGACAGAAATAGTGCTAACAAAGTAACATGGCTTTGTGAAATGGGGCCCAATAAAATCAATAACAAAACACTCACCCTGACGAAGTCCCACATCCAGTCTATCATATCTCCATTGATTTATTATCACTTGTGTTCTATGAAAGCCAATATCCTTCAATAACGCACATGCAAGTTAGAGTGGCCCCCACACTGGGAGATATTTACAACCCACTACTGTGGTAGGACACTACAGGCAGGTTCAATCTCAGGGTTAAGAGTGTGCTAATGTCCTTTCTGTGTTGACTGTTGAGGAGACAATTCCACACTGAACAGATAAGAGTTATTAAACACAAACAACAGCCATGTCTGTTGACATACTACGACTGTTGACTTTACACGATTTGGGTTGACAGTTTACTGTGATTATACTGATAGCGATCAGGGCCTCGATTTAGTGCTTTACTTGCAGATGCTAGCCAATATGAATGCAACGTAGTTATTAGTCTAACTTGCACCAGGTGCAGGTCAATTTGTGAGTGGGGAAACTTCTGAATTAAAGATTTATGAATGGTAATTCTAACAGTGATACAGGTGTTAAATGACAATGTGTCCCAGTAAGATAGAGGTGTTATGACATAGTGTCTCAGTAAGATAGAGGTAGTATGACATGTGTCTCAGTAGGATAATGTATTATGACGTGTGTCTCAGTAAGATACAGGTATTATGGCAAGTGTCTCAGTAAAATACAGGTGTTATGACATAGTGTCTCAGTAAGATACAGGTGTTATGACATAGTGTCTCAGTAAGATACAGGTGTTATGACATAGTGTCTCAGTAAGATACAGGTGTGATGACAGTGTCTCAGTAAGATACAGGTGTTATGACATAGTGTCTAAGTAAGATACAGGTGTTATGACAGTGTCTCAGTAAGATACAGGTATTATGACATAGTGTCTCAGTAAGATACAGGTGTTATGACATAGTGTCTCAGTAAGATACAGGTGTTATGACATAGTGTCTCAGTAAGATACAGGTGTTATGACATAGTGTCTCAGTAAGATACAGGTGTTATGACATAGTGTCATTGTCTCAGTAAGATACAGGTGTTATGACATTGTGTCTCAGTAAGATACAGGTGTTATAAGTAAGATACATGTAGTATGACACAGTGTCTCAGTAAGATACAGGGTAATTATAAGGTACAGGTTTATGACATAGTGTCTCAGTAAGATACAGGTGTTATGACATAGTGTCTCAGTGTGACATAGTGTCTCAAGATACAGGTGTTATGACATTGTGTCTCAGTAAGATAAGGTGTATGACATTGGTAGTATGAGGTAGTATGACATAGTGTCTCAGTAAGATACAGGAATTATGACATAGTGTCTCAGTAATTGCAATTAATCATCAAAGCATAACAAATGCCAATTTATGACCTTGTGATACCTTTGTTGATCACTATCATAGTCAACAGTGCCTAAAACAGAACAGACATACAATGACATACAAAACAGAACATATAAAGTCACATACAGAAAGAGAACAGACATACTCACACACACAGAGCTGCCTCGCATACAGAACGGACCAGAACAGCACCTACCAGGTCATGATGCTCTGGGACGTTACAGAACAGATAGCTGTCATCATCCACAGCAACTCCGTCTCCTCCATTCTTCAGAATTCCCCTGGGAGCTACCGGAGACTCCATGGCAACAGATCCTGTTGGATAGCAACACAATATATTCAGTACACCACCAGCACAAAACACAAACTGTCCAACACTATGCTTCCTCCCAAAGCCTGAGAAACTCAGGCCATCTTGTATCCACAGACGCTTCTGCTACTCCATGTTGACAGAAGTTTGAATTTATTCACACCTCAAATTCAGTTATCTCCCTTATGGTCATACCAGAATGAGAATCCTTTCTCCCAGCTGGGTCTTGTTAGCCCGCGTTGTTCAGGTCGGACAGATTATAGAATTACAGCAAGACGAGATCATGTGACTTGTCATGCCCGGGCAAGTATGAATGAGGCATTAGAAGTGTGTCAGGTTTTGCCGCCAGTCAGACAACTGTGGTGACCAGAATTAGAGGGGAGGATTTGTTGGGGATAATCTTATGGGAGCCACCGTAAGAAGAGATCACAGCGAGATTAAATTTCGGATAAAAGCATTGCCATGAATGAATTTTTCGACCAATTACATTTTTTAGATTCTTTCGTAATGCAGGGATTTAAGTCTTCTAATTTGCTAAACGAATTAATATTGTGGTTTAAATCATTAATTGGTTAATGAGGTATAGTCTTACTTGAACCTAATTAGCAATTGTCAAATAGAACTACTGCAATTCAGTTCAAAGATTAACATCTAATAATAATCGTATAGAGTCGTTAGTGACCTTTAAATATCCATTAATACCGTCTTATCAACATATCTTTAATTAATCACTTTATAACTCTTTATTTCATGTGACCTTATTCTGAAATGACAAATGTTTAGAACAATTATCACAAAGCATAACATTTAAAAAGCCTGTCTAGGAAATAGACAACCTCACACTGAACATATTCAAAATGATATTGAAAAAAAAATAATACAATTTGAAAACACACATCCATGACATTTTATATCTTTGAATTGGAAGCCCATCATGACCTAAATTTGTACTCAAAATTGTAAATAAACAAATCTCAACACCCCCCCCACCCCAAAGCATTTAAGTTGACACATTCAGTACAATTTGATATTTTAATTGTGAAATTAATCACTTTTTTTATAAGATAACCAAAGTGAAAATACAATGAAACCCATAAAGCCTGAGGGTGAAGCTATACCATTGACTTCTTGATACAAGCACCTGTCTATTAAGCAAAGATCAGTGTTGTTTACACAAACACTGACCCTGTTTAACCTGGTCGGGATCAAAGTCCAGTGTGTCAGAACTCAGGTGCCATGTACAGAACCATACAGCAGATCCACTTATCTTCATAGATATCAGGGGTTTTGTCCTTTCATGGCCTGTGTATGATATACTGTTGTATCTATCTTCATATATATTCTTTCTAGTTGTCTTCACAGGGTATTGTCCTGGTCTGTGTACCATATACTAGCGTATCTATCTTCATATATATTCTTTCTAGTTGTCTTCACAGGGTATTGTCCTGGTCTGTGTACCATATACTGTCGTATCTATCTTCATATATATTCTTTCTAGTTGTCTTCACAGGGTATTGTCCTGGTCTGTGTACCATATACTGTTGTATCTATCTTCATATATATTCTTTCTAGTTGTCTTCACAGGGTATTGTCCTGGTCTGTGTACCATATACTGTTGTATCTATCTTCATATATATTCTTTCTAGTTGTCTTCACAGGGTATTGTCCTGGTCTGTGTACCATATACTGTCGTATCTATCTTCATACATATTCTTTCTAGTTGTCTTCACAGGGTATTGTCCTGGTCTGTGTACCATATACTGTCGTATCTATCTTCAAACATATTCTTTCTAGTAGTCTACACAGGGTATTGTCCTGGTCTGTGTACCATATACTAGCGTATCTATCTTCATACATATTCTTTCTAGTTGTCTTCACAGGGTATTGTCCTGGTCTGTGTACCATATACTGTCAGATCTATCTTCATATATATTCTTTCTAGTTGTCTTCACAGGGTATTGTACTGGTCTGTGTACCATATAATAGATATCTATCCTGGTCTGTGTACCATATACTGTCATTATCTATCTTCATATATATTCTTTCTAGTAGTCAACACAGGGGTATTGTCCTGGTCTGTGTACCATATACTGTCGTATCTATCTTCATCTTCTATATATATTCTTTCTAGTAGTCTACACAGGGTATTGTCCTGGTCTGTGTACCATATACTAGCTGCGTATCTATCTTCATATACATATTCTTTCTAGTGGTCTTCACAGGGTATTGTCCTGGTCTGTGTACCATATACTGTCGTATCTATCTTCATATATATTCTTTCTAGTAGTCTACACAGGGTATTGTCCTGGTCTGTGTACCATATACTGTCATCTATCTATCTTCATATATATTCTTTCTAGTAGTCTACACAGGGTATTGTCCTGGTCTGTGTACCATATACTAAGCATTATCTATCTTCATATATATTCTTTCTAGTAGTCTACACAGGGGTATTGTCCTGGTCTGTGTACCATATACTAAGCGTTATCTATCTTCATATATATTCTTTCTAGTTGTCTTCACAGGGGTATTGTCCTGGTCTGTGTACCATATACTGTCGTATCTATCTTCATATATATTCTTTCTAGTTGTCTTCACAGGGTATTGTCCTGGTCTGTGTACCATATACTGTCGTATCTATCTTCATATATATTCTTTCTAGTTGTCTTCACAGGGTATTGTCCTGGTCTGTGTACCATATACTGTCATTATCTATCTTCATACATATTCTTTCTAGTTGTCTTCACAGGGTATTGTCCTGGTCTGTGTACCATATACTGTCGTTATCTATCTTCATATATATTCTTTCTAGTAGTCTTCACAGGGTATTGTCCTGGTCTGTGTACCATATACTGTTGTATCTATCTTCATATATATTCTTTCTAGTTGTCTTCACAGGGTATTGTCCTGGTCTGTACCATGTACCATATACTGTCATTATCTATCTTCATATATATTCTTTCTAGTTGTCTTCACAGGGTATTGTCCTGGTCTGTGTACCATATACTGTCGTATCTATCTTCATATATATTCTTTCTAGTTGTCTTCACAGGGTATTGTCCTGGTCTGTGTACCATATACTGTCGTATCTATCTTCATATATATTCTTTCTAGTTGTCTTCACAGGGTATTGTACTGGTCTGTGTACCATATACTAGCATAAGGACATGGAAAAATGCCATGATATTGAGAGTGATCTAGACTTGTTCTAAGACATATATTCTGCCAAGTCTGCAGTCATTCAAAATTTGAAAAAGTTGAATGGAAAAATTGCCCATTTATTATCATTATAGTACTAATCTTACGTCATTTTCTTTTTCAATGAAAAAAGGACAAATAAACTAAATTTTATATCATTCATTTGATAAATCTCAAAATACAAATCTCCAAATTTTCAATGACATAATTATATTTTCCCAATCTACCAGCCAATGGCATTGGGACAATCTAGCTTAGAATCTTTGATAAATCCCTGTAATACACAATTGGACCAGGTTAAGCACCACTATTTTTCATAACCAGTTTATTGCATTTATTTTCTGACAACATTTTGTGTAGAAGTAACACACCTATATCAAAATACAGAGAAGACATCTGTGTTGTGACACGTCCTGTTACTGTTTCATGGCAATTACTATTTCACATCCCTTTTGACTGTAACCCAGCTTATTTTCTCAGTAGGGTAGAACTCCGTGTATATGACCATCTAGACACAAACTGTTTCACCAATTTTTCATCAAGTATATCTGAGCATTTTTGACAATGACATCAATGTCGATTGTGGATATTTCCAAAATAAACATGGAAATTTTAGATAGAGAACCAAACAAGGGTTGGAGTATAATGATATTTATGTGTTTATTTGCCAAATCCACTCCCTACAGAAAGCTTAAAGTGCTACATTATGACCTCAAGCAATAACCAGAGTGCATTTTCAGTCCTTGTTTCATTCCTTAATCTGGGCAAAGACAGGGAAACAACAAGTACCATCTGTAAACATCTTTGGGTTTTGAGCCACCAAGACTTCCCAACTTTCCCTGGCTGACAGATAAAGGGTCAAAACTGAAAGATCTTGGATTCAAACCAATGACCAAAGGATCCTGACACAGCAAGGGCAGGCAACTCTAACCACAGCACCTCACACAAATGGGCCTACTGTCTTGATTTGGATATAATATGCAGACAGTTAATGACATCAACTAACATGAAGTGATGTAAACTAATATTTTTAGTCCAATCCAATAGTCAAAAAAGTGTTAAAATGGAAAATTTCTACCACTCCTTAGGATACCTTAACTAAAAAGCAGTTTGGCAAGGACTAATGCCAAGTTCTAATGCTGACATACTTACTTAAAGTCACATAACGTGTCTACATACAAGTGTTGGTGAAGTATTGTGACTACACAGGCGTAATGTCCGCAGCACACCTCTCATACAACTGTAATCCTGATTGGCACCCCAGTCTGATTCCACGGCCGACCACAACTAGTTACAATGTAATTATGTGACTGGAGTTAACTCCTTCTGACCTACAGGTTCACTCAAGGACTATACACAGGTAACTCAGCTGTAATTGCTCTGCCAAGAAAAGGCCTTTCACTACAGGTTGAAAGGAGATTCTACAGATCCACCGAGCACCCTTGGCAGCACATACACCTTGATCACAGACCAGTACAGAGCGTCAGGCACAAGGGACATACACCTTGATCACAGACCAGTACAGACTGTCAGGCACAAGGGACATACTATAAGCCGCAACGTCGTCTGTGGCAGCTGGGTTTTTAAAAATAATTTTCTGTAAGTTTGACCCCCCAAAATATTTCCTGAGATGTCCTGAGAAAATGTCTTGTTAAAATGATTTTATGTATCATGTTGATGGAGTGAAAGGACATTACAGAAGTCCTACAAACAGGCACATCCACAATCATTAGTCACACGTACTTGTTACATAACAGCCACTTTGACCCCTGATCCTTTGAACTAAATTTCATGAAGCAACTGATTGACAGATCAGATTACTGTTCAGACTAGCCCAGGAATATCTGGGTTACTATGACAACCCATGCTTGTCGTAAGGCGTAGCTGAGGGAATTGGGTGTGGAGACTCCATAATTTGCAGACTGACGTCCTGTACTTGGAATATTGCTGAGTACAGCTAGAAATAACAAACAAAATTAAGACCATTTACCATTTGCAGAGATGACAACCCCAAAGTGTTGCAAATAGTAGTTTCAAGAATCAAAATTAGTAGTTTGACCATAAAATTAGTAGTCGACTAAATACTTAAAATCATGATATATTCTGAGAAAGAGTGAGTAGTTTATGCCGCTTTTAGCAATATTCCAGCAATATCACGGCAGGGAACACCAGAAATGAGCTTTACACATTGTACCCATTTGGGGAATCAAACCCGGGTCTTCAGGATGACGAGAGAACACCTGAACCACTAGGCTACCCCGCCCTCCCCTGAGAAAGATATGACATTAATCAAGAGTATGCTTCAATTTCACAACACCAGATTTCCAAATTACTCGTATCAGCATTACATTTCTTCTTCTTGTCTCTTTTTGGCGAAAATTTATTTAATCAACAAAAATATGTTTTTGTCTATATATCCGAATTTTAATTATTTTTTTTCAAATTTCGAAGAATTTCTAGTGTAATCGTATTGGCGTAGTTTGAGGCTAAAAATCGTAGAGGTCGCCATCTCTGCATTTGACATTGTTTGTAAAGGGCTTAGATGCCAGTTACAAACAAACTTCCAGTTTCCTTACTGGCCCATAATTTTCCCACAGAAACATTTAGTACATCCATTGTTTGTTAACAGAAACAGTGAGCATATCCATTGTTTGTCAAAAGAAACAGTGAGCATATCCATTGTTTGTCAACAGAAACAGTGAGCATATCCATTGTTTGTCAACAGAAACAGTGAGCATATCCATTGTTTGTCAACAGAAACAGTGAGCATATCCATTGTTTGTCAACAGAAACAGTGAGCATATCCATTGTTTGTCAACAGAAACAGTGAGCATATCCATTGTTTGTCAACAGAAACAGTGAGCATATTCATTGTTTGTCAACAGAAACAGTGAGCATATTCATTGTTTGTCAACAGAAACAGTGAGCATATCCATTGTTTGTCAACAGAAACAGTGAGCATATCCATTGTTTGTCAACAGAAACAGTTTGTCAGAAACATATATCCATTGTTTGTCAACAGAAGTGAGCAGTGAACAGATACATATCCATTGTTTGTCAAAAGAAACAGTCAATAACAGTGTCAGCAGACACAGTCTGCATAACCATTGTTTGTCAACAGAAACAGTCTGCATAACCATTGTTTGTCAGAAACACAGAGCATAACCATTGTTTGTCAACAGAAACAGTCTGCATAACCATTGTTTGTCAGAAACACAGAGCATAACCATTGTTTGTCAGAAACACAGAGCATAACCATTGTTTGTCAACAGACACAGTCTGCATAACCATTGTTTGTCAGAAACACAGAGCATAACCATTGTTTGTCAGAAACACAGAGCATAACCATTGTTTGTCAGAAACACAGAGCATAACCATTGTTTGTCAGAAACACAGAGCATAACCATTGTTTGTCAACAGAAACATTCTGCCTAACCACTGCCTAACCGCTGTCTGTCTCCTTTATGTTCGAGGAACAGCAATCCCCTGTTAACGCTCTATCACTGGAACCAAAATCTTGTTGACGTGTGTTGCTCACTGATATAATCAAGTGTTGTGTTACCTTGAAATGAGCACACCTGTAACGAGGCAAACGCTGACCGCCCACAGGTATTGTGAGATGGGATTACTGCTGCCCCTTGATCGAGGCAGGATACGCTTCAACAGGTGCTGCCTCAACAAAGCAGCCACATGACTACAGCTGAGTTAATGGAGCTATTTGGGTCGACTATTTTGAAAGATATTTATCTTGCAACAGTAATGATACTAGGGAATAGGTATAGTGCTTGTGTAGAATTTTGTTTGTTTTTTGTATTTGAATATTGTATTATAAATTTGCTTCATGAATATGTATTTAAGAAATACAGTTCGCTCTACCACCATGTATAGTGTAATAAAACACACTTTCGCCCTGAACTATTATAGTTAAAGTCCGAGGAAGAATTGACACATTTTAACCGTCGTAAAACATAAACGTAATGTTTCCACCAGTGATGTTAGCTGCTTGAAGCAACTGCAAACCAAGAAACGGGATGCAACGGAGTAGTTTACTGTAGGAGGCCGTACGAAGCGATGACAACTGACATGCATCGTGATGTTGCTTACATTGTGACGTAATGTAAAATGGTTGGATTACGAGGGGGCACACTAGAATGGCGCAGTGACGGAATAACGTCATTCAATTGTTATGTCATCAAAAAACTATACCTTTATTGTCTGATAATGTATTTTGTTTTCGATTGTTCCAACTGCTAGGCATCTTAGAAAAAGAATTAAATTACTTTCTGAAAAGTAATGGAAGCTGTGAGACAGTCATAAACTTTTTAAGTTTTGATATCATAACAGTCGAAATTCAACGTCAAAGGCTGGACATGATGACAACCTGAAGTTAATGTGGAAATATGGACAAAGTGACTTAGCAGTAAGTCAAAGTTTGGAAGTATATTAACCACTGTGTCAACGTTAAAATATGGACATTATGACTAAGTCAACAATAGCATTGCACCACAGATCTGTCAATTGATCAGATAATAATAATAATTTATAACCTACGAGGGCGAAGAAATTGGGGCTCATATTTTTCATGCGATGCCCTAGGGCAAAATATCACTTTGTCATGGTGACGTGACGTCATGAACAATACTATGACGTCACATTTCTTCTACAGCATTGCGTTCTACATGTAGAGATGGCAAATAGCCAGCCTATGTTTGAAAGTAGATCTGGCTTTATTTTCCTCATTATTATTTTTTCCCCCTCATTTTGAGGATTTCGGTAATAAATAGAGGCTATTATATGAGTGCCCATACTTGTGCCCACACTCGAGTCGTAAACATTGTATGATATGGGCACTCATATAATATCCTCTATTTATTACTTGCCCATGGAAGATACTGCAGTGTAATATTTCACGGCAATATTACACTAGTGTAATACTGGTAGATGGATGACGTCATAATAGTTTACAGCTATGACGTCACAATGCTAATACCTCTGTCACAATGGTACTAGACCCTGCTTGACTTGCGGAAAGCTGAGAGTCATCACACTGTAGGCAGTTTCTGTCCATATATGTTGGAGGGTAATAAGCAGAATACTAAACTCGCTTCCGTGAAATACCATTTTTATTTAACTCATGAAAGATTTAGCATACTATACTAAATCATTAACTCGTTTAATGAAAGTGGTATTGCACGGAAGGCCATCTAGTATCCTCTCTATTATATGCAAACAAGCCACCGTATATATATCAGATCAATCAGAAACATGAGAACATGGACAAGATTATAAGGCATGAGAGAATTGCAATGTCTCACTATGTTTGTGTTATTTTTGATTACTTATGTCAACACATTTTACCAGAACAATCAGGTTTGTGGCAAGATGCAGTTAGGGAGAGGTGTATGTGACATTGCAAACTGTATTTATGGGTTTTCATATGAAGGATACAACGTATAATCAATCATAATCTATCCCAAACTCCCAACTCATGGTTTTTAATCGATTCAACTTTTAACTGTCATTCAAAATGTCCCCAACATGTATTCAAATTTGGTAAAGATACAGAAAAATATATGTATACAAAGATGGAACCACAAACATGTCCTTGTGTCAATTTTGCTACTGAATCTGAATAGATCTCTCAATTGATCTACGTACCTTTTTTTTTAATAAACAATTTTCCTGTAAGAATTGACAACTGTATACCCATATTAAGTGTATGCAAGCTCGATTAAGTTTCTCAAGCATTTGCCATGTTGTATTTGGTAAAACAAGATTCATCAGATGACAAATCCACCCGGTCACCACACATTTGAAAGACTGACTGACTGACTGAGTTTGGTTTTACGCTGCTTTTAGCAATATTCCAGCAACATCACGGCGGGGGACACCAGAAATGGGCTTCACACATTGTACCCATGTGGGGATTCGAACCCGGGTCTTCGGCGTGACGAGCCAACGCTTTAACCATTAGGCTACCCCACCGCCCCATTTGAAAGAACACATCATCTGAATTTCTGTCTAATCAGACCATCTGTATACAAGAGGACTTATTGAGCTATAGAAAAAATAACATGGAACTGGGATTCGAAAACTTGTACTTCTATGTCAGGTACACACCAATATTAAAGGACAAAATAAAATAATTTTGACCGCCTTATATTCCAAAGGGATAAAAATAATACAATACTTACGTATCGGGCTTGGAGGTGTTATGAATGATCCATCAAAGTTGACAGTTGTCGAAAGTCTGGAATCCGAAATTGGAGTCCCCGTAGCAATAGGTGTCACTGGCATGGATCCTGGGCGTGGTCCAGGGGAGATAACTCCAACACTATGCATTCCCGGCGGAGGGGGTGGACCAGATGAAGGCATGGGGATTCTTCCATTTGTAGGGTAGTAGATCCTGACTGGTGTTTTCCCACCTGCTGAATAATAGACTCTTCCAGGCTTATACCCCACACTCTGTGCTGGCCCTGTCGGGATGTATACCTGTTGACCCACAGAATAACCGCCTGGGGGGACAGGTGAGCCCCCAGCGGGTAGGGGGTAGAACCCAGGTTGTACCCCAGGGTGTACCCCAGGTTGTAACCCAGGGTAACCAGGCTGGTATCCGGGGTAGTCTCCTTCAGGATAACCTACAGGGTAGGAATATTCAGTATTAACTGGACCAAAGGCAACTCTTGGATCTGTTTGGGATGCTACAGGAAGTCCCTGGGTGTGGCTGGGGTCTAAGGGAGCATATGTACCCTCAACGTGCCCCGGAGTATGTCCTGGGGTGGGGCCAGGCATTGGATGGCCACCACTAACTACATGGCCGGGTGGTGGCCCGACAATACCTGGCGAAGTTGGCACTCCCCAGGGCGCCACTCCTCCCTCTCCACCCACAGGCTGCGCTGGTGTCCCCAACGCGTACACGTTGGGGTCAGCTGGGGGGTAGCCTGGGGGTGGGGGAGAGTTGTACTGTGCGTGGTGAGGTTGAGGTCTGTACACAGGCTCAAAGGCTGAAGGTTGCGAAGCTTTCCTACGCATCTGAGGTCGGCTACGCCCAAAAATGCGACTTGTGGCACGCCCACTCGCGCTGACTGAGACGATCTGCATCATCAACTGAAACAACAAGGATGCTGAATGTGACCTGGTAGATGAAGGTGCTGAAATAAGCAATACCTGGATCATAGATGATGAAGATAGGCTGGGCTTGTGCTGTACTGAACAATATCACCTTGTTGCTATTACTAATTAATAATTAACTATGCATTCTATTAGTGACATATACATTTATAGGAAACGCCTTCAATCTGTTTTTGAACGTATAGAGTAAAACATCTGTACAGTTTGCGTAAATCAGCCACACTGTTTTACAGTGTTTACTATTTCTGTATTACATATTTCACAGCAAGTACAAAAACTTTGATACTGATTATCACCTTCAACACACAAAATGTACTTAGCAAAACTGTGCATGACAAAATATGTCAACTTTATCTTCAGTGATAATCAAGGTTGCCTTGACTCATGGTGGCAACCTTCTAGCAGCTCAAAACGCACACAACAAATGCCACAAAGTTGTAAGCTATAAAAGCATTCCACAAGTATTGACACACACAACCAACAGTACAACTTACACAGAAACTTATACAATATTGGAAAACATTTGTTTGATATGTAAATTTGACACACATTTTAACATGGCGCGATGTCTTTAATGACTGTCAAGTAATTTGTCTTAAATACATGTACATTCAAATACCAACAGCACAAAGTGGCAACAGGTTCCAGTGCAGTTTACATACACAATTCAGACTAATATATTCTGTTTTTTCAAATAAATAAATAATAAAGGATGAAATTTTTATCAGCCATGGAGAACAGAATGCTGGATCAAAGGGTTGTCTGAAACTTGTATATTCCGATGAAACCTGCGTTCAACAGTAAGACCTCATTATCAGACAGGCTCCAGGCTCACTTAAGTCTAAAAATTGCTTAAATCTGTCATTTTGATCTGAAGTAAAAAAATTGTCTTAAATCAAGGATCATGTACATTTTTTAGTCTTAAAAGTTAAGACTGAGATCATTTTTTGTCTGAAATCCTGAGATTGCTACCTACCAGTCTTAAGTCAATTTTATTCCTAGCAAACATGGCAGAGGTCATACACATTTTGCGACTTATCAGACAACACAAAAGGAAAGAGCGAATTCCAAGAAAATTTAGGGATAGATTCAACCCTCTAGAATGTTATCGTCTTGGACGATCAACAATAACATTTTTAGTAAACCTCCTCAATGGACAAATTACTCATGAGACGAGGAGTTCTCTGAGCCACCATCTCTGCTGCAGGTCCTAACATGTCACAGTTTGCAGCAACAGAAGCGTTAATTCAGATTCAACCAGCATCATTCATTGATCACTCATTCTGATCTAATACGATGACATGTCAAAATCATGTTAAAGGTTTGGTATGATCGGTTGTCAGAAATACAGATATTTTGGCAGGGCTATGACATTTGTTTATGTATAGAATGGAACAGATGGGTTGTCAGTGAAATTAGCTCACACTAATTCAAATTGGTTATATTTGTTTGTATGTTGCTTAACACAGCTCTGACCCGTGAAGATCCGGGGTAGAATAGGTCTTCAGCAACCCATGCTTGCCACAAAAGTCGACTATGCTTGTCGTAAGTGGCGAATAACGGGATGGGGTGGTCAGGCTCGCTGACTTGGTTGACACATGTCATCGGTTCCCAATTGCGTAGATCGATGCTCATGCTGTTGATCACTGCATTGTCTGGTTCAGACTCTATTATTTACAGACCGCCACCATATAGCTTGAATATTGCTGAGTGCGGCGTAAAACTAAACTCACTCACTCACTCAAACACAGCTCTATGGCAGCGGTCTGTAAGTATGATTCTGGACCAGACAATCCAGTTATCAACAGCATGAGCATTGATCTATACAACTGGTATATGATGACGTGTCAACCCTTAGTCGCCTCTTACAACAAGAGGCTTAAGACCAATACTAACAAAATGGTTTGTAAGTGACACCAGTTAAAACTGGTTCAAACTGGTTGTCAGAGACATCGTTTCGTTTTGAATCAAATAGAAACTAATATGTCATGTGTTGAGATTATCAGAAACAACGTTACCTTCTGCCCCAGGTGGCGCGCTGACTGTCTGACTGGAGTTGACTCTGTTGGTCGCCCACTGCCAGGAGGCGCCTTTGACTCACGTCTCTCGGTGCCGAGGTGTTCCAGCATGTGAATCCGAGGAGGTGAGCTGAGGTGAGCACCCTGCCATCAAACATACACATGACTGACACACTAATAACCGCTTCCACACATTCAGTTAAAAATGTATATGTTGAACTCTTTGAATGCAAGGTTAATGAAATACTTAACTTGTAATCAGGAAAACACTGAAGATGGCAATAGTATAAGATTTATAATTATGGTGAATCTGGGTTATTTTTTTATATATACAACTTCTTTATTCTGTATAGGCTAAAGAAGTTGTGTATCCATAAAAATAATCCTCATTCTCCATTTACCCAACTTCTAGAATAATAATAATAATAATAGTCCATTAATATTGCGCATTTATCCATGCACATTGCATGCTCAAAGCGCCGACACATTACCCCTGGTCAACGAGTACAGAACACTCCCTGTGGAGAATACAACCGGTCGCTTGTCAGGTGCTCAAGGTTCAAATTCAGACTACCATTGTATCATACCAGGTACCCAATTCTACTGCTGGGTGGACAGAGGCAAGTTTGAACAAACTCACTTGCCTAAGGTGAGACCACATGTATCACATATGCTTCGTTGTGGGGCAGGACTGAAGTCCTAGAAACTTTCAGGAGTCAAGCTGCCAAACACGGTCACCCATCCGAGGACTGTCCGCGACCACCGTTGCTTAACTTCAGCTGATTGTGACCTGAGCTCTACGCAGAGGACCACACACCGCCACAGAATGCCAATCAAAGAACTCTTCTGAGATTGGTTTACATGTGACACTGAATTTGTTGAAAACATAAAAACTAATGCATGTTATTACAGTGTTTCATCTGAAGATTCAGGATTCTTGGAATCCATGGTTACACAACTCACCAGATTGCCTCCCATGATGGGCACAGACATAGCGCTGGGTGGGGGGACGCTGCCGTTTCCTGAAGCTGCCTGACTGTGTCCTGGGGAGCTGTGGAGAAGGGGGGCGTGGCCCGGTGAGGAGTGCAGCAGGGGGGCGGAGGTCCGTCCCGGGGGTGAGGAGTTGGGTGCTGGGGCCTGGGGTGGACTAGATGCAGGTCGTGTGGGATGCTGGGTGGGGCGGATGGAGGGTGGGGCTGACCCAACCTGAACTGACCCAGGGGGTGCATTCTGCTGGGCAAACATCGTTGGCTGTGGCACCTGGGAAAGAAACAAAATTGCATGGATCTTCACCTTATATGATCTCCACATGACAAGGATCTTCAGATGACATGATCCCAACATCATGAAGATCTTCACATGACAAGGATCTCCACATCATAAAGAGTGAGTGAGTGAGTATGGTTTTATGCCGCTTTTTAGCAATATTCCAGCAATATCACGGCAGGGGACACCAGAAATGGGCTTCACACATTGTACCCATGTGGGGAATCGAACCCGGGTCCTCGGCGCTGACGAGCTCCAACCACTAGGCTACCCCCGGGCGTGACGAAGCCAACGCTTTTAACCACCGCCCCACATCATGAAGATCTTCACATGACATGGATATTCACATGGGTCTCTGTCACATGGATTTCCTCGCTACATGGACCTTGATACTATCTGGACCTTACAATGTACACAAGGTTCAACGTATACTGTGTTTACAAGAGCAAGTAAATATCTCATTATGGTAGTCAGCTATAGAATCCCATGTTAGCGTCAACGAGATGTGCAACCTGCCACCAGAGTGGGACCACACAGACCAATGTAGCACTAACTGACAAGACTTGTGAGTAACCTATTCTGTGTGTGCAACCTGCCACCAGAGTCGGACCACACAGACCAATGTAGCACTAACTGACAAGACTTGTGAGTAACCTATTCTGTGTGTGCAACCTGCCACCAGAGTCGGACCACACAGACCAATGTAGCACCAACTGACAAGACTTGTGAGTAACCTATTCTGTGTGTGCAACCTGCCACCAGAGTGGGACCACACAGACCAATGTAGCACCAACTGACAAGACTTGTGAGTAACCTATTCTGTGTGTGCAACCTGCCACCAGAGTGGGACCACACAGACCAATGTAGCACTAACTGACAAGACTTGTGAGTAACCTATTCTGTGTGTGCAACCTGCCACCAGAGTGGGACCACACAGACCAATGTAGCACCAACTGACAAGACTTGTGAGTAACCTATTCTGTGTGTGCAACCTGCCACCAGAGTGGGACCACACAGACCAATGTAGCACTAACTGACAAGACTTGTGAGTAACCTATTCTGTGTGTGTGCAACCTGCCACCAGAGTGGGACCACACAGACCAATGTAGCACCAACTGACAAGACTTGTGAGTAACCTATTCTGTGTGTGCAACCTGCCACCAGAGTTGGACCACACAGACCAATGTAGCACTAACTGACAAGACTTGTGAGTAACCTATTCTGTGTGTGCAACCTGCCACCAGAGTCGGACCACACAGACCAATGTAGCACCAACTGACAAGACTTGTGAGTAACCTATTCTGTGTGTGCAACCTGCCACCAGAGTCGGACCACACAGACCAATGTAGCACCAACTGACAAGACTTGTGAGTAACCTATTCTGTGTGTGCAACCTGCCACCAGAGTGGGACCACACAGACCAATGTAGCACTAACTGACAAGACTTGTGAGTAACCTATTCTGTGTGTGCAACCTGCCACCAGAGTTGGACCACACAGACCAATGTAGCACCAACTGACAAGACTTGTGAGTAACCTATTCTGTGTGTGCAACCTGCCACCAGAGTGGGACCACACAGACCAATGTAGCACCAACTGACAAGACTTGTGAGTAACCTATTCTGTGTGTGCAACCTGCCACCAGAGTGGGACCACACAGACCAATGTAGCACCAACTGACAAGACTTGTGAGTAACCTATTCTGTGTGTGCAACCTGCCACCAGAGTCGGACCACACAGACCAATGTAGCACCAACTGACAAGACTTGTGAGTAACCTATTCTGTGTGTGCAACCTGCCACCAGAGTGGGACCACACAGAATCCAATGTAGCACTAACTGACAAGACTTGTGAGTAACCTATTCTGTGTGTGCAACCTGCCACCAGAGTCGGACCACACAGACCAATGTAGCACCAACTGACAAGACTTGTGAGTAACCTATTCTGTGTGTGCAACCTGCCACCAGAGTCGGACCACACAGACCAATGTAGCACTAACTGACAAGACTTGTGAGTAACCTATTCTGTGTGTGCAACCTGCAACCTGCCACCAGAGTGGGACCACACAGACCAATGTAGCACTAACTGACAAGACTTGTGAGTAACCTATTCTGTGTGTGCAACCTGCCACCAGAGTCGGGACCACACTGAACCAATGTAGCACTAACTGCCACCAGACTTGTGAGTAACCTATTCTGTGTGTGCAACCTGCCACCAGAGTGGGACCACACAGACCAATGTAGCACTAACTGACAAGACTTGTGAGTAACCTATTCTGTGTGTGCAACCTGCCACCAGAGTGGGGACCACACAGACCAATGTAGCACCAACTGACAAGACTTGTGAGTAACCTATTCTGTGTGTGCAACCTGCCACCAGAGTTGGACCACACAGACCAATGTAGCACCAACTGACAAGACTTGTGAGTAACCTATTCTGTGTGTGCAACCTGCCACCAGAGTCGGACCACACAGACCAATGTAGCACCAACTGACAAGACTTGTGAGTAACCTATTCTGTGTGTGCAACCTGCCACCAGAGTGGGACCACACAGACCAATAGCACCACAGACCAATGTAGCACCAACTGACAAGACTTGTGAGTAACCTATTCTGTGTGTGCAACCTGCCACCAGAGTCGGACCACACAGACCAATGTAGCACTAACTGACAAGACTTGTGAGTAACCTATTCTGTGTGTGCAACCTGCCACCAGAGTGGGACCACACAGACCAATGTAGCACTAACTGACAAGACTTGTGAGTAACCTATTCTGTGTGTGCAACCTGCCACCAGAGTCGGACCACACAGACCAATGTAGCACCAACTGACAAGACTTGTGAGTAACCTATTCTGTGTGTGCAACCTGCCACCAGAGTCGGACCACACAATCCAATGTAGCACTAACTGACAAGACTTGTGAGTAACCTATTCTGTGTGTGCAACCTGCCACCAGAGTGGGACCACACAGACCAATGTAGCACCAACTGACAAGACTTGTGAGTAACCTATTCTGTGTGTGCAACCTGCCACCAGAGTGGGACCACACAGACCAATGTAGCACTAACTGACAAGACTTGTGAGTAACCTATTCTGTGTGTGCAACCTGCCACCAGAGTCGGACCACACAGACCAATGTAGCACTAACTGCCAAGACTTGTGAGTAACCTATTCTGTGTGTGCAACCTGCCACCAGAGTCGGACCACACAGACCAATGTAGCACTAACTGACAAGACTTGTGAGTAACCTATTCTGTGTGTGCAACCTGCCACCAGAGTGGGACCACACAGATCCAATGTAGCACCAACTGACAAGACTTGTGAGTAACCTATTCTGTGTGTGCAACCTGCCACCAGAGTGGGACCACACAGACCAATGTAGCACTAACTGACAAGACTTGTGAGTAACCTATTCTGTGTGTGCAACCTGCCACCAGAGTGGGACCACACAGACCAATGTAGCACTAACTGACAAGACTTGTGAGTAACCTATTCTGTGTGTGCAACCTGCCACCAGAGTGGGACCACACAGACCAATGTAGCACCAACTGACAAGACTTGTGAGTAACCTATTCTGTGTGTGCAACCTGCCACCAGAGTGGGACCACACAGACCAATGTAGCACCAACTGACAAGACTTGTGAGTAACCTATTCTGTGTGTGCAACCTGCCACCAGAGTGGGACCACACAGACCAATGTAGCACTAACTGACAAGACTTGTGAGTAACCTATTCTGTGTGTGCAACCTGCCACCAGAGTGGGACCACACAGACCAATGTAGCACTAACTGACAAGACTTGTGAGTAACCTATTCTGTGTGTGCAACCTGCCACCAGAGTCGGACCACACAGACCAATGTAGCACCAACTGACAAGACTTGTGAGTAACCTATTCTGTGTGTGCAACCTGCCACCAGAGTCGGACCACACAGACCAATGTAGCACCAACTGACAAGACTTGTGAGTAACCTATTCTGTGTGTGCAACCTGCCACCAGAGTGGGACCACACAGACCAATGTAGCACTAACTGACAAGACTTGTGAGTAACCTATTCTGTGTGTGCAACCTGCCACCAGAGTGGGACCACACAGACCAATGTAGCACCAACTGACAAGACTTGTGAGTAACCTATTCTGTGTGTGCAACCTGCCACCAGAGTGGGACCACACAGATCCAATGTAGCACTAACTGACAAGACTTGTGAGTAACCTATTCTGTGTGTGCAACCTGCCACCAGAGTGGGACCACACAGACCAATGTAGCACCAACTGACAAGACTTGTGAGTAACCTATTCTGTGTGTGCAACCTGCCACCAGAGTGGGACCACACAGACCAATGTAGCACTAACTGACAAGACTTGTGAGTAACCTATTCTGTGTGTGCAACCTGCCACCAGAGTGGGACCACACAGACCAATGTAGCACCAACTGACAAGACTTGTGAGTAACCTATTCTGTGTGTGCAACCTGCCACCAGAGTGGGACCACACAGACCAATGTAGCACTAACTGACAAGACTTGTGAGTAACCTATTCTGTGTGTGCAACCTGCCACCAGAGTCGGACCACACAGACCAATGTAGCACCAACTGACAAGACTTGTGAGTAACCTATTCTGTGTGTGCAACCTGCCACCAGAGTGGGACCACACAGACCAATGTAGCACCAACTGACAAGACTTGTGAGTAACCTATTCTGTGTGTGCAACCTGCCACCAGAGTGGGACCACACAGACCAATGTAGCACCAACTGACAAGACTTGTGAGTAACCTATTCTGTGTGTGCAACCTGCCACCAGAGTGGGACCACACACAGACCAATGTAGCACTAACTGACAAGACTTGTGAGTAACCTATTCTGTGTGTGCAACCTGCCACCAGAGTGGGACCACACAGACCAATGTAGCACCAACTGACAAGACTTGTGAGTAACCTATTCTGTGTGTGCAACCTGCCACCAGAGTGGGACCACACAGACCAATGTAGCACTAACTGACAAGACTTGTGAGTAACCTATTCTGTGTGTGCAACCTGCCACCAGAGTGGGACCACACAGACCAATGTAGCACCAACTGACAAGACTTGTGAGTAACCTATTCTGTGTGTGCAACCTGCCACCAGAGTGGGACCACACAGACCAATGTAGCACCAACTGACAAGACTTGTGAGTAACCTATTCTGTGTGTGCAACCTGCCACCAGAGTGGGACCACACAGACCAATGTAGCACCAACTGACAAGACTTGTGAGTAACCTATTCTGTGTGTGCAACCTGCCACCAGAGTGGGACCACACAGACCAATGTAGCACCAACTGACAAGACTTGTGAGTAACCTATTCTGTGTGTGCAACCTGCCACCAGAGTGGGACCACACAGACCAATGTAGCACTAACTGACAAGACTTGTGAGTAACCTATTCTGTGTGTGCAACCTGCCACCAGAGTGGGACCACACAGACCAATGTAGCACCAACTGACAAGACTTGTGAGTAACCTATTCTGTGTGTGCAACCTGCCACCAGAGTGGGACCACACAGACCAATGTAGCACCAACTGACAAGACTTGTGAGTAACCTATTCTGTGTGTGCAACCTGCCACCAGAGTGGGACCACACAGACCAATGTAGCACCAACTGACAAGACTTGTGAGTAACCTATTCTGTGTGTGCAACCTGCCACCAGAGTGGGACCACACAGACCAATGTAGCACTAACTGACAAGACTTGTGAGTAACCTATTCTGTGTGTGCAACCTGCCACCAGAGTGGGACCACACAGACCAATGTAGCACTAACTGACAAGACTTGTGAGTAACCTATTCTGTGTGTGCAACCTGCCACCAGAGTGGGACCACACAGACCAATGTAGCACCAACTGACAAGACTTGTGAGTAACCTATTCTGTGTGTGCAACCTGCCACCAGAGTGGGACCACACAGACCAATGTAGCACTAACTGACAAGACTTGTGAGTAACCTATTCTGTGTGTGCAACCTGCCACCAGAGTGGGACCACACAGACCAATGTAGCACCAACTGACAAGACTTGTGAGTAACCTATTCTGTGTGTGCAACCTGCCACCAGAGTGGGACCACACAGACCAATGTAGCACCAACTGACAAGACTTGTGAGTAACCTATTCTGTGTGTGCAACCTGCCACCAGAGTGGGACCACACAGACCAATGTAGCACTAACTGACAAGACTTGTGAGTAACCTATTCTGTGTGTGCAACCTGCCACCAGAGTGGGACCACACAGACCAATGTAGCACCAACTGACAAGACTTGTGAGTAACCTATTCTGTGTGTGCAACCTGCCACCAGAGTGGGACCACACAGACCAATGTAGCACTAACTGACAAGACTTGTGAGTAACCTATTCTGTGTGTGCAACCTGCCACCAGAGTGGGACCACACAGACCAATGTAGCACTAACTGACAAGACTTGTGAGTAACCTATTCTGTGTGTGCAACCTGCCACCAGAGTCGGACCACACAGACCAATGTAGCACCAACTGACAAGACTTGTGAGTAACCTATTCTGTGTGTGCAACCTGCCACCAGAGTGGGACCACACAGACCAATGTAGCACTAACTGACAAGACTTGTGAGTAACCTATTCTGTGTGTGCAACCTGCCACCAGAGTGGGACCACACAGACCAATGTAGCACCAACTGACAAGACTTGTGAGTAACCTATTCTGTGTGTGCAACCTGCCACCAGAGTGGGACCACACAGACCAATGTAGCACTAACTGACAAGACTTGTGAGTAACCTATTCTGTGTGTGCAACCTGCCACCAGAGTCGGACCACACAGACCAATGTAGCACCAACTGACAAGACTTGTGAGTAACCTATTCTGTGTGTGCAACCTGCCACCAGAGTGGGACCACACAGACCAATGTAGCACTAACTGACAAGACTTGTGAGTAACCTATTCTGTGTGTGCAACCTGCCACCAGAGTGGGACCACACAGACCAATGTAGCACCAACTGACAAGACTTGTGAGTAACCTATTCTGTGTGTGCAACCTGCCACCAGAGTGGGACCACACAGACCAATGTAGCACCAACTGACAAGACTTGTGAGTAACCTATTCTGTGTGTGCAACCTGCCACCAGAGTCGGACCACACAGACCAATGTAGCACCAACTGACAAGACTTGTGAGTAACCTATTCTGTGTGTGCAACCTGCCACCAGAGTGGGACCACACAATCCCAATGTAGCACTAACTGACAAGACTTGTGAGTAACCTATTCTGTGTGTGCAACCTGCCACCAGAGTGGGACCACACAGACCAATGTAGCACTAACTGACAAGACTTGTGAGTAACCTATTCTGTGTGTGCAACCTGCCACCAGAGTCGGACCACACAGACCAATGTAGCACTAACTGACAAGACTTGTGAGTAACCTATTCTGTGTGTGCAACCTGCCACCAGAGTGGGACCACACAGACCAATGTAGCACCAACTGACAAGACTTGTGAGTAACCTATTCTGTGTGTGCAACCTGCCACCAGAGTGGGACCACACAGACCAATGTAGCACCAACTGACAAGACTTGTGAGTAACCTATTCTGTGTGTGCAACCTGCCACCAGAGTGGGACCACACAGACCAATGTAGCACCAACTGACAAGACTTGTGAGTAACCTATTCTGTGTGTGCAACCTGCCACCAGAGTGGGACCACACAGACCAATGTAGCACCAACTGACAAGACTTGTGAGTAACCTATTCTGTGTGTGCAACCTGCCACCAGAGTCGGACCACACAGACCAATGTAGCACTAACTGACAAGACTTGTGAGTAACCTATTCTGTGTGTGCAACCTGCCACCAGAGTCGGACCACACAGACCAATGTAGCACCAACTGACAAGACTTGTGAGTAACCTATTCTGTGTGTGCAACCTGCCACCAGAGTGGGACCACACAGACCAATGTAGCACCAACTGACAAGACTTGTGAGTAACCTATTCTGTGTGTGCAACCTGCCACCAGAGTCGGACCACACAGACCAATGTAGCACCAACTGACAAGACTTGTGAGTAACCTATTCTGTGTGTGCAACCTGCCACCAGAGTCGGACCACACAGACCAATGTAGCACCAACTGACAAGACTTGTGAGTAACCTATTCTGTGTGTGCAACCTGCCACCAGAGTGGGACCACACAGACCAATGTAGCACCAACTGACAAGACTTGTGAGTAACCTATTCTGTGTGTGCAACCTGCCACCAGAGTGGGACCACACAGACCAATGTAGCACCAACTGACAAGACTTGTGAGTAACCTATTCTGTGTGTGCAACCTGCCACCAGAGTCGGACCACACAGACCAATGTAGCACTAACTGACAAGACTTGTGAGTAACCTATTCTGTGTGTGCAACCTGCCACCAGAGTCGGACCACACAGACCAATGTAGCACTAACTGACAAGACTTGTGAGTAACCTATTCTGTGTGTGCAACCTGCCACCAGAGTCGGACCACACAAACCAATGTAGCACTAACTGACAAGACTTGTGAGTAACCTATTCTGCCCAAAGTTCCCAGGTGTGTTGTGTGGTACCTACCACAGGTGGTTGTCTGTAGGGGGGTGCAGCACCAACCCCAACGCCGACTCCTGCCTGTGCCGCCGCGGCCACCCCCGATGCCCCGGCATGGTCAGGAGGCATGGTCTGGACATAGGCTGACTGCATGGCAAGTGTCTCCTTCAAGTTGTTCACCTCTTGTCTGATACGCCACAACTCATCGTCAAACCCAGGGCCAACTGAAATGGAGATGGCAAAAACACTGGGAGATGTACAACTGTGATAAATGGACGTGGACTGACACCAGGCTGATATGTTCCATCCCTAATACTCTTGTCTTTATACAATCTAGAACATCAGCTGAGGAGAGACCTACCTCCCTCGGGTCCCTGCTGGGCCAGGTTCTCCATCTCAGATACGTTCCATCTAGTGGTTAACTACAATCTAGAACATCAGCTGAGGAGAGACCTACCTCCCTCAGGTCCCTGCTGGGCCAGGTTCTCCATCTCAGATACGTTCCATCTAGTGGTTAACTACAATCTAGAACATCAGCAGAGGAGAGACCTACCTCCCTCGGGTCCCTGCTGGGCCAGGTTCTCCATCTCAGATAATGCTCCATCTAGTGGTTAACTACAATCTAGAACATCAGCAGAGGAGAGACCTACCTCCCTCGGGTCCCTGCTGGGCCAGGTTCTCCATCTCAGATCGTTCCATCTAGTGGTTAACTACAATCTAGAACATCAGCAGAGGAGAGACCTACCTCCCTCGGGTCCCTGCTGGGCCAGGTTCTCCATCTCAGATACGTTCCATCTAGTGGTTAACTACAATCTAGAACATCAGCTGAGGAGAGACCTACCTCCCTCGGGTCCCTGCTGGGCCAGGTTCTCCATCTCAGATACGTTCCATCTAGTGGTTAACTACAATCTAGAACATCAGCTGAGGAGAGACCTACCTCCCTCAGGTCCCTGCTGGTTCAGGTTCTCCATCTCAGATACGTTCCATCTAGTGGTTAACTACAATCTAGAACATCAGCTGAGGAGAGACCTACCTCCCTCCCCTCGGGGTCCCTGCTGGGCCAGGTTCTCCATCTCAGATACGTTCCATCTAGTGGTTAACTACAATCTAGAACATCAGCAGAGGAGAGACCTACCTCCCTCGGGTCCCTGCTGGTTCAGGTTCTCCATCTCAGATACGTTCCATCTAGTGGTTAACTACAATCTAGAACATCAGCAGAGGAGAGACCTACCTCCCTCGGGTCCCTGCTGGGCCAGGTTCTCCATCTCAGATACGTTCCATCTAGTGGTTAACTACAATCTAGAACATCAGCAGAGGAGAGACCTACCTCCCTCGGGTCCCTGCTGGGCCAGGTTCTCCATCTCAGATATGTTCCATCTAGTGGTTAACTACAATCTAGAACATCAGCAGAGGAGAGACCTACCTCCCTCGGGTCCCTGCTGGTTCAGGTTCTCCATCTCAGATACGTTCCATCTAGTGGTTAACTACAATCTAGAACATCAGCTGAGGAGAGACCTACCTCCCTCGGGTCCCTGCTGGGCCAGGTTCTCCATCTCAGATACGTTCCATCTAGTGGTTAACTACAATCTAGAACATCAGCAGAGGAGAGACCTACCTCCCTCGGTCCCTGCTGGGCCAGGTTCTCCATCTCAGATCGTTCCATCTAGTGGTTAACTACAATCTAGAACATCAGCTGAGGAGAGACCTACCTCCCTCGGGTCCCTGCTGGTTCAGGTTCTCCATCTCAGATACGTTCCATCTAGTGGTTAACTACAATCTAGAACATCAGCAGAGGAGAGACCTACCTCCCTCGGGTCCCTGCTGGGCCAGGTTCTCCATCTCAGATCGTTCCATCTAGTGGTTAACTACAATCTAGAACATCAGCAGAGGAGAGACCTACCTCCCTCGGGTCCCTGCTGGGCCAGGTTCTCCATCTCAGATATCACGTTCCATCTAGTGGTTAACTACAATCTAGAACATCAGCAGAGGAGAGACCTACCTCCCTCGGGTCCCTGCTGGGCCAGGTTCTCCATCTCAGATCACGTTCCATCTAGTGGTTAACTACAATCTAGAACATCAGCAGAGGAGAGACCTACCTCCCTCGGGTCCCTGCTGGGCCAGGTTCTCCATCTCAGATCGTTCCATCTAGTGGTTAACTACAATCTAGAACATCAGCATCAGCAGAGGAGAGACCTACCTCCCTCGGGTCCCTGCTGGGCCAGGTTCTCCATCTCAGATACGTTCCATCTAGTGGTTAACTACAATCTAGAACATCAGCAGAGGAGAGACCTACCTCCCTCGGGTCCCTGCTGGGCCAGGTTCTCCATCTCAGATCTAGAACATCAGTTCCATCTAGTGGTTAACTACAATCTAGAACATCAGCAGAGGAGAGACCTACCTCCCTCGGGTCCCTGCTGGGCCAGGTTCTCCATCTCAGATACGTTCCATCTAGTGGTTAACTACAATCTAGAACATCAGCAGAGGAGAGACCTACCTCCCTCGGGTCCCTGCTGGGCCAGGTTCTCCATCTCAGATACGTTCCATCTAGTGGTTAACTACAATCTAGAACATCAGCAGAGGAGAGACCTACCTCCCTCGGGTCCCTGCTGGGCCAGGTTCTCCATCTCAGATACGTTCCATCTAGTGGTTAACTACAATCTAGAACATCAGCAGAGGAGAGACCTACCTCCCTCGGGTCCCTGCTGGGCCAGGTTCTCCATCTCAGATACGTTCCATCTAGTGGTTAACTACAATCTAGAACATCAGCTGAGGAGAGACCTACCTCCCTCGGGTCCCTGCTGGGCCAGGTAGTCCAGCATCTGGTTCAGGTTCTCCATTTCCTCCTTCTGAGCATCCAGGATGTCATACAGACGGGTCAACTCCTCCTCCTGGGCAGCTGCAGGACAGAGGGTACAGTCAATACAGTAGGTACAGTTAGTACATTGGGTACAGGGAGTACAGTAGCTTACTAAATACAGTAAGTGTAGTCAGTAGTGTTGGGAACTGGTTGAAATCTCACAATTGATGATTGTTTCATTACCAACGAACAATCATCAAAAAAACTTGGTAAGCATCATTTTTCAGATTTTCCTATCCAGGTTGTTATTGCAGATATTTATAACATGATGCAACTTGCTACTTTAAAGTGATGACTAATATATCATGAACATAAACTTCCCGGAGTCTTCAAGAAATATTCAGTCATGGCTTTTCAGTTAGTGAAGTGAGTTTTCTAAGAATTAAACACGTTTTCATGCCCTGATAACTTCTAGGATATCATCATCAAGTATATCAAAGACTAAAACAGTAGTTCCTAAATCGTTTATGTTCGATTATGAGAAAATGTGATCGATTGCTTGGTCGTTTGGTCACTGCGACCAATCTTCGATTATTTCAATTAATCTGAACACCACTAGTAGTCAGCACAGTGAGTCAGCAAGTGTGTGTGTGTGTGTGTGGTGGGTAGATCAGTGGTGCGAGTCAATGAGCGGAACACTTGAGACCTTAACTTTCTGGCTATAAAGTAGACTATAAACTAAGCATCAAGTTGGATACCATGATTTTATTCAGCTTATTAGAAAACATCGTATATTTTCTCACATAAGGTGATATTTTCATAGTTTATAGTGTTGTCACAACCCCTAGTGTACAGTACACAACCCTGTACACTTAAAAGAACCGACGAATCTGTTGGTATTTGACCAGATGGTGGCCACATGAATACGTGCAAACACCTAGTTGCGGGTACAGCAACGCGCAGTGAACAGGGACAAAGTACTGTGACTATATGTCCCAGTCCAACCAGTTGTGAATGGGTACCTCGTTAGGATGAGAAAGCCACAACAACTCGGTGCGCCTAGTGGCTGCAAGAGTTGTATGATCCCCAGGGAGTTGAGATTGATAATGCGATGTGCCGCTGAGATTGACATCCAGTGATCGAGGGGAAAAATACCAGTGCCTTGAGCATGCACTGGTGCGTAGATATGTGCGCTATATAAATATCCTATAATAATAATAATAGTTTACAGACAAAGGATACTGAAACATTCCAGTGGCTGTTCTTTCACTTTGGTTGGAATAATCATAATAAACATGGAAACAATGTTGCGCCCTATTGCACCTACCCATCATCTGGTTGGACATGTCAGCCTCCTGTATGTCGTCCTGCATCTGTCCCTCCCGCGTCTCCAGCAGGCCCTGCAGGTGGTCCGCAGCCTGCTGAGCCAGGTCAAGGTCATCTGCTATCACTTGGATGCGGGCTTCCTGCTTCTCCTACAGCAGTGACAGGACACTCAATGTCACCTCAATCTCATTAAAAATGTTCAATATATACGATATCTCTCTGCATGAGGTGAGGTGAAATTGGGTTTAATGTCGTACTTGAGAATATTTCGCTCATATGACGACGTGCATGCATGTGTATGTGTATGTGCGGCAGCTTGTACTAGCCCAGACTGAAGCTGGTTTTATAGTGCTAGCCCACTGAGATACCATGCCGCAGTGAAGCATGAATACTCCACTCAGACACATTACACTGACTCCGAGCCGACCAGTCCTTGTTGTATCCATTAATGCCGAACGCCAGGCAAGGACCAACAAGTACCATATTTTAACGTCTTTTGGTATGACGCGATCGGGATCGAACCCGGGACCTTCCGTTCTCCGGGCGGACGCTCTAACCACTACACCATGGAGGCAGTCGTCTCTGCATGAGCGACCTTTATGTTCAAACAAAGATTCAGGGTGACCCTGGAGTCAAACACCCTGAGGAGAGGACCCTTCACTTTGAACACTCGTATATATGCCACTGTAACAGTAATGTTCATGAGGAATCTGCTACTACATAACGGTGCCCTTCACGCTATGGTAGGATTCAAACCCACAACCAGTACCTCCTTGTTGGGCAGGGAGTCAAAGACATCTGAGTCCATTGTGCCAAAACATTAGAAAACATGTACGAAGCTCCCTAACAATACAGTGTGAATTATACCCGTTCAGGGGACTAATACAAACAGCTACGGATAAGGGAGGCAGCTCTGCAGCACCTGTACCGCGACCCTGTCAAGAATGCCTCTCACAATGAGATCCATCTCCTCACCCTGATCAGCTCCGCCTCCTGCCTCTGTTTCTCCAGCTCCTTCTCAAACTCCTCCTCCCGTTGCTGCATCTCCTCCGTCAGCAGCGCGATCTCATTCTCTGCATCCAGCACCTTCAGGGAGGAGCACAGATGAACATTACAACCCATCAGCCTATGTATTACGTCATCAATACTCATGGAACGATATTCCTGTTTCTTAGCTCCACCATAACAACACTTATGTAGCAACTATATGATGCATCACCTAAACAAAGAAGTTGTTCATCCATAAAGTTGGTCCTTATCTGACTCTTCAACTTCAAAAAAGGCCACTCAAAACCATAAAAAGTCCATACATCAGAGGCAGTCCTATTTTATCTTCTCTCCAACTCATACACTCCAGCCAATATTGTTTAAAAACACAACTTCAAAGGATCTGGGTTGAAATATAAAACCGCAAGCTGGAATAAGCTGAGCTGCAGGTTTTGCATTTTTTGGCAAAAAAATTGGATTGCTTAATTACTGGACAACGTCACTGCAATACATTAGAATGACTGACTGACTGAGTTTGGTTTTACGCCGCTTTTAGCAATATTCCAGCAACATCACGGCGGGGGACACCAGAAATGAGCTTCAACATTAGAATGAAACAATACACCAGTCGTTGTACAGATCAAATTCAGTGACAGCTTAAGGAAAAGCCTACATGCAGCATGTAGACAAAAGAATTCATGCCGTGTGGTCCTGTGTATAGAGACCAGGTCACAAATCTGTTGAAGTTAAAGAACGCTGGTCGCAGACAGTCCTTGGATGGGTGACCGTGTTTGGCAGCTGGATTATGTGAGTTATTACTCATGTCCAGCCCCACAACAAAGCACATAGGACACAAGTGGTCTCACCTTCGGCGAGTGAGTTTGTTCATGAATTGCCTCTGTTCACTCAGCAGTGAATGGGTCCCTGGTGGGATAATTCATTTGACTGTTAACCATCTAGTGCCCCACTGTCTGCTTGGGTTATCTATGGTAATAATTTGTTAGCGCTTTGAGCATGCACAAGTGCTTGGAAACAGGCACGCCATGAATAGCCATTATTATTATTATGTGAGACTGAATACCTGTAAGTGAGTGAGTTTAGTTTTACGCCGCACTCAGCAATATTCCAGCTATGTGATGGAGGTCTGTAAATAATCGAGTCTGGACCAGACAATCCAGGGATCAACAGCATGAGCATCGATCTACGCAATTGGGAACCGATGACATGTGTCAACTAAGTCAGTCAGCCTGACCACCCAATCCCGTTAGTCACCTCTTACGACAAGCATGGGTTACTGAAGGCCAGTATTCTAACCCGGCCGACCCTTGAACCGACCTTGGTAGATCATGGCCCTGTCAGCCGTGTTTGTTGAATTTCCACTATGTAAGGAAACCTTAAGACTACGATGGCCCTTCTCCCCACTCTCCTCTCCATCAGACGTAACCCTGCACCCTGTTACCGCCAGTCATGCTGTACACCTACCCTTCTCTCACTCTCCTCCATCAGTCATGATGTACACCTACCCTTCTCTCACTCTCCTCCATCATTCATGATGTACACCTACCCTTCTCTCACTCTCCTCCATCAGTCATACCCTTCTCTCACTCTCCTCCATCAGTGTACACCTACCCTTCTCTCACTCTCCTCCATCATTCATGATGTACACCTACCCTTCTCTCACTCTCTGTACCTCCATCAGTCATGCTGTACACCTACTCTCCTTCTCTCACTCTCCTCCTCCTCCTCCAGTCATGTGCCTCGTGTTCACTCCCTTCTCTCACTCTCCTCCATCAGTCAGCTCCATCAGTTCACGCTGGAGTTCATCATACAAGCGCTCTCCTCCGAGTTGAGGGACGAGGCTCGGTCGGAGTCGGAGCTTGGTGCATATGTAATACGGGTCCTTGGACGCTCCTGAAAAAAGAAATAAAATGCTAAATAATAATGCTGTGTTGGGGAGATTGGCAAAAAACCATGACAAATGGTTTTCATCCTTGGGAAGGCTCATGACAAACAATGACAAGCATCAGGAGATTGCACAAAGAAATCTACCCTGTAGACACCCTGTGTGAAAATTCCTGCACCAGTCAGCCCAGAACACCATGTCGAAATTCCCCTACCTGTCGTGCTCTGTTTTCAGCATCCTGCAAAGCCTTGTTCAGCCTTCGAATTTCATCCTCAAGTCTACTGATCTCTGCACTCTCATTCCGACTGTCGGGCCTCTGGAACATGGAACACACAAATCACTAAGCACTTCACCTAGTTCCGTGTTGACGTAGGGATTCCTCAAGACACAAGTTGAGGTAGTTCTACCAGCTGTTATATATCAAACTAACATGTTCACAAATTCTGAAAACTATTCTGAGTATGAAATCTCTATTAAATTTCAACATCTTGTTTCAATAGATATCTGTCAACTCTGGATGTTACTTTGATAAAAAATAAGATTACACCAATGAACACATATCAGGGCATTACAAAGTTCATTTTCCTCAAGTTGAGATTAATTCAAAGACATGATTTGTTCAGTCTCTCAGTGCCACTGACAGTAGGTGTTTATGTTAGGAAAAGTGTTGGCACCATCTTCTCTGGGTCTGTCTTCTCCCCTCTCTTGGCAAGGTCGGCTTCTGCCTTCTTCAGGTTTTCCTTGAGAGTCTGCACCTCCACAGATGCCTGGAACATGGACACCATTGTTACACCTGCCACTGACACCCACCACACACACCTGCCACAGACACCTTCTACACACACCTGTACCATGCTTCTTGCAACGGATTCTGACAACTCCTGACACAGAAGCTTGTTTCAGCACTGCCTACTGGCACCAACTCCTGCTGTAGACACCTGCTACTACTACGCACTCCATTAACACCTGCTAGACACCTGCTACTAGTACAAACCATTAACACCTGCTACTAGTACAAACCATTAACACCTGCTACAGACACCTGCTACTAGTACAAACCATTAACACCTGCTACAGACACCTGCTACTATGAAGACCCATTAACACCTGCTAGACACCTGCTACTACGACCCATTAACGACTGTTACTACTACGACCCATTAACACCTGCTACAGACACCTGCTACAACTACCACGACCCATTAACACCTGCTGTAGACACCTGTTACTACTACGACCCATTAACACCTGCTAGACACCTGCTACTACTACGACCCATTAACACCTGCTAGACACCTGCTACTAGTACAAACCATTAACACCTGCTACTAGTACAAACCATTAACACCTGGTACAGACACCTGCTACTAGTACAAACCATTAACACCTGCTACAGACACCTGCTACTATGAAGACCCATTAACACCTGCTAGACACCTGCTACTACGACCCATTAACACCTGTTACTACTACGACCCATTAACACCTGCTACAGACACCTGCTACAACTACCACGACCCATTAACACCTGCTGTAGACACCTGCTACTAGTACAAACCATTAACACCTGCTACAGACACCTGCTACTACGAAGACCCATTAACACCTGCTACAGACACCTGCTACTAACGAAGACCCATTAACACCTGCTACAGACACCTGCTACTACGAAGACCCATTAACTCCTGCTACAGACACCTGCTACTACGAAAGACCCATTAACTCCTACTGCAGACACCTGCTACTACGACCCATTAACACCTGTTACTACTACGACCCATTAACACCTGCTACTACTACCACGACCCATTAACACCTGCTGTAGACACCTGCTACTAGTACAAACCATTAACACCTGCTACAGACACCTGCTACTACGAAGACCCATTAACACCTGCTACAGACACCTGCTACTACGAAGACCCATTAACACCTGCTACAGACACCTGCTACTACGAAGACCCATTAACTCCTGCTACAGACACCTGCTACTCCGAAGACCCATTAACTCCTACTGCAGACACCTGCTACTACGACCCATTAACACCTGCTACTACTACGACCCATTAACACCTGCTACTACTACCACGGCGACCCATTAACACCTGCTACAGACACCTGCTACTACGAAGACCCATTAACACCTGCTACTACTATGACCCATTAACACCTGCTACTACTACCACGACCCATTAACACCTGCTACTACTAAGACCCATTAACACCTGCTGCTACTATGACCCATTAACACCTGCTACAGACACCTGCTACTACTATGACCCATTAACACCTGCTACTACTATGACCCATTAACACCTGCTACTACTATGACCCATTAACACCTGCTACAACACCTGCTACTACTATGACCCATTAACACCTGCTACTACTATGACCCATTAACACCTGCTACTACTATGACCCATTAACACCTGCTACAGACACCTGCTACTACTAAGACCCATTAACACCTGCTGCTACTAAGACCCATTAACACCTGCTACAGACACCTGCTACTACGACCCATTAACACCTGCTGTAGACACCTCTACTACTAAGACCCATTAACACCTGCTACAGACACCTGCTACCACTCCTGAATGCTTTAAGTTCATAGACATTAATACTGATGACCAATACTCATGACTACATAGCATATTTACATACACATCTACAGGATCCTATCGAAATACGGCCTCTTCAAGATCAAAACCGATGTGCACTAGAGGTATGCAGCTTGAATTGTCAGGGACACAGTGAATATCAAACAGCCACTTCACTTCACATACCAAGAATTGGACTCTTCAATAACTGACTATTGTCCACACATTTGAAATAAAAACATCAGACTGTTCTAAAAGGTAACTGCCACAACAAATCTCAAAGAACTTGTCACTAGATCTGTTATTCAAGTAACAATACACCCAAGCCTGCTGACCTTGTGGTTATGCTTTCTGGCCTCCTCCACCTCGGGTTGCTCTTGTTCAGTTTGTCCTGGACGTAGTGGTGGAGGTCGTGGAAGGTCTTCCCTAGGACGTCGTCACTGCTCTGTGGGGGGAGGGGACCCTGCCAGGACAGAGGAAATAGGGAAGTCACTGAATGTTTTAAGCCATATCTGCATAGTCCAGTCATTTCAAACCCTCTTCGACCACTAAATACTGTCAAAGACGATTGTACGAGTCTGAATGTGACTGAGTGAGTATTGTTTTACGCCGCTTTGAGCAATATTCCAGCAATATCACAGGGGGGACTCCAGAAATAGGCTTCACACATTGTACCCACATGGGGAATCGAACCCCGGGTCTTCGGTGTGACGAGTGAACGCCTTAACCACTAGGCTACCCCACTGTCCCTGCAGCTGAATGCAACAGTCGGGCCAGCACAGAGGGTACTGTAAAGGTTGTACGACAGATAGGATTACTTTCACAATGGACCCTCCTCGGTGTAGTGGTTAGAGCGCCTGCCGGATGGTTTGATCCCCGACCGCCATACCAAAAAAGCGTTAAAATATGGTACTTGTTGGTCCCTGCCTGGCCGGCATTAACGGGTACAACAAGGACTGGTCGGCTCGAGTCAGTATAATGTGTCTGAGTGGAGCATTCATGCTTCACTGCGGCATGGTATCTCAGTGGGCTAGCACTATAAAACCAGCTTCAGTCTGGGCTAGTACAAGCAGCCGCATTACACACATATGAGCCGAAATATTCTCGCTACCCACATTAAACCCAATTTCACCTCACCTCCACTTTCACAATGAGGGGTGACTATAGATGGCATGTTGCGATTGTGATAGTATTGCTATAGTTAACATTAGTGGTCACTATTGAGGGGAAACAACATAACAATAATCTACTGCAGCATGATATTGTGACAGCGATAGTCTATTGCGACCAACTATTGCAATACTCTTGCAATGTTTTTTCATTCTTGAATGGTCTCATTTGAAGTCATTTCCTAATGAATGTATAGTTTATATGAGGTGAGGTGAGGTGAAATTGGGTTTAACGTGGAATGGTTTGAGAATATTTTGCTCATATGACGACCTGCATGCGTGTATATGTGTATGTGCGGCTGTTTGTACTAGCCCAGACTGAAGCTGGTTTTATACGACAAGGGCCTGCAAATGATCTAGAATCATCCAGACAGATGAACATTGTTGGTGTTCAATGAAATCACAAGATACACAGCAGAATACTCCATTCATTTCATTCTCCTCCGATGATTGGTATCACTTGCTGGAGATCACTATAGAAACATACATTCATACATATTGGGCACATTATTCATAACTGCTACTGTTTCTGTAGGTTGTCTTCAAACTCTTTTATTTTTTTCCGGAGTAGGTTTGAAATAGCTTGTGAGAAACGTCATGGTGATACAAACATCATTGTTGGTTGGCTGTGTGCACTGCACTGTCAATCTACTGGAATGAAGTAAGTTTGAAAGGGGATTTTATTATTGGGTGTGGTTACACAGCTAGCTAAATAACTACATACAAACCTTGCCAGCTCTGAAGTTGTGAGTGAGGTCCTTTAGCCTCTTCTTGAGGTCACTGGGTCTGAAGGTGTCCTTGGTGTCAGAAGCACTCTGCTTCCTCGTCTCCGATAACTGTTCCCGCAGGGAGGCATTCAGACCCTGGACACACAGACCCATGTAAGTAACACTTATCTAATTGATTTGGAGTTGCATGTAGGGCTGCAACGTTTCGGTTCGATTCATTGAAAATCGTATCTGACACCTTAGTTTTGATTTTTGATAACCATTTTCACTATTTCGATTTGATATTTGAATACCTATTTAAATTATTTCCACGCAGCCAGAATGTAATTTTCACTCCAACTTGAGCAGTATAGGCGAAACAGGATTGGTTGACGCCGGGCAACTTATCCAATGAGAATTGTTGTTAGCAGACATCGCCAAGTTGACGATGGATGTTTTAACTTGTATGAAGAATCGAATCGAAAATGATCGAATCGAGGGTCCAATATGGAATCAAATCGGGAGGTGTGGGTGAATCGTTGCAGCCCTGACTGCATGCACACGAACTTGTACTTGAGTGTCCCATTGTTTTGCATGAGGTCCCGAGTATAACTTTTGATAGTGGGTTTGAAATTACTGTACAGGATTAGCAGTGGAGATAAGGGCTTGTCAAGAGTTGCCTTTAGCTGCAGCATCGGCCTTTTGTGTTACCTGCTATGCCGACGCGACCCGGCAACCAGCAGAAGATGATGTCTCGTTTTTTCCAGTATAAAGGTTGTTGTAAAGTTCTAAAATGTCTAGGATGATAGGGGTGACGAAGTAACATTTTGAAGTGCTTGAAGGCAAGATAATGAGTCTGTTAAAACGATGAAGTTTTTTTGGAAATGTTCTGGTGTTTAATATAGATCAGAGTTGTGAAGATAGCTTTGGCCTCAAAGCGGTGAAAAATTGAACTGTTGTCAGGAATTCTATAGAGGAGACAGACTTGGATCCAATGACTGCTAGCACTGGCAACTTGGCTACATCGCCCTGGATCCGGCCTCTGCTAGAAAATGGATCTATGGGTGTTGGCACTTGGAAAGTAACTGGTTTTGTTTTCTGACTTTTTGGCAGTTTGTGAGGGTAAGATTGACCTGTGGTTTCACCATCTGCCACGGTGGGGAAGACAGAAGCCCGATAAGGTGCTATGATATTGAGGTCAATTTTAGCTGCAGATATGTGTGGTTGGATTCTGATTCCAAAATGGTGGAAACAGGCTTGGCAGATTAGGAAACAGGTTTTCATAGAGAGGTTGAAAACACAGTTGTATGCAGGATTGGACTCATTTCGAGCGTAATTTAGTGATATACTGCAGTGAAAGTTTAATGCAGTGTTGTTAAAGGAGTGGTTAGATTCCCAACCCCTTCCCATGGTCCCCACCCTTCCCTTGTGGTCCCACGCCCTGGTCCCTGGTGATCCCCACCCCTTGGCGCTGGTCCCCATCCAGTCCTGGTGAACCCCCTCCCCTTGTGGTCCCCACCCACTGGTCCCGGTGATCCCTACTTTACCTTGGCAGCCTCCAGCTGAGATTCCATCTTCCTCAGCTGCTCCAGGGGATCTGCCTCCATCCTTCTGTTGCCGTGCTAGCTGCTCCGCCTGCCTCCCTCTCTCCACCTGCAGCTGCTTCTCCATGTTCTTCCTCTCCATCTGAGGGTAAACCTTGAGTACAGTCTTCACTGCCACACCGACTTACATACAAACCTTAGTACAGTCTTATAGCACAAGAAACCTTAGGCCAGTCTTCACTGCCACAATCGACTTACATATACAAACCTTAGTACAGTCTTACATACAAACCTGTAGTACAGTCTTCACTGCCTCACAGTCTTACATATACATACAAACCTTAGTACAGTCTTCACTGCCTCACAGTCTTACATATACAAACCTGAAGTACAGTCTTCACTGCCTCACAGTCTACATACAAACCTTTTAGTACAGTCTTACATACAAACCTTAGTACAGTCTTCACTGCCTCTCACAGTCTTATGATACAAAACCTTAGTATGTGTCTTCACTGCCACACCGACTCACATACAAACCTTAGTACAGTCTTCACTGCCTGCACAGTCTTACATACACAACCTTAAGTACAGTCTTACATACAAACCTTGGTACAGTCTTACATACAAACCTTAGTACAGTCTTCACTGCCACACCGAATTTACATACAAAACCTTAGTACAGTCTTCACTTACGCCTCACAGTCTTACGCTTATACAAACCTTAGTACAGTCTTACATACAAACCTTAGTACAGTCTTCACTGCCTCACAGACTTACATACAAACCTTTTAGTACAGTCTTCACTGCCTCACAGACTTATTACAAAATTTTTAGTATAGTTCACTGCCTCACAGACTTACATACAAACCTAGTACAGTCTTACATACAAACCCTTTAGTACAGTCTTACATACAAACTCAGTACAGTCTTACATAAACCTTAGTACAGCTTTCACTGCCATACACCTGACCATACAAACCTTAGTACAGTCTTACATACAAACCTAGTACAGTCTTCACACCTAATTTACATACAAACCTTAGTACAGTCTTACATACAAACCTTAGTACAGTCTTTCACTGCCTCGTTTAATTTACATACAAACCTTTAGTACAGTCTTCACCCCACCGACTATATACAAACCTTAGTACAGTCTTCACTGCCTCACAGACTTACATACAAAACCTTAGTACAGTCTTTCACTGCCTCTACAGACTTATATAAGAACCTTTAGTACAGTCTTCATCAGTCTTCACAGACTTATTACATACAAACCTTATACGTCTTCACTGCCTCACCTAATTTACATACAACCTATACAGTCTTACATACAAACCTTAGTACAGTCTTCACTGCCACACCGAATTTACATACAAACCTTAGTACAGTCTTCACGCCTCACAGTCTTACATAAACCTTAGTACAGTCTTACATACAAACTCTTAGTACAGCGTCTTCACTGCCCTCACAGATTACATACAAACCTTAGTACAGTCTTCACTGCCTCTACAGACTACATACAAACCTTAGTACAGTCTTCACCAAGCCGCCAGACTTACATACAAACCTTAGTAGCGGCTCACTGCCTCACAGACTTACATACAAACTCCTTAGTGCCAGTCTTCACGCCACAGACTCCTACATTAAACCTTTAGTGCAGTCTTCACTGCCTCAAGGTGACTTACATACAAACCTTAGTACAGTCTTCACTGCCTCACAGACTTAAGACATACAAACCTAGTACAGTCTTCACACACACAGACTTACATACAACCTTAGTACAGTCTTCACTGCCTCCCAAGGTGACTTATACAACTTAGTACAGTCTTCTTCTGCCTCAAGGATCACATACAAACCTTATGTAGTCTTTCACTGCCTCACAGACTTACATACAAACCTTAGTACAGTCTTCACTGCCTCACAGACTTACATACAAACCTTAGTACAGTCTTCACTGCCTCACAGACTTTACATACAAACCTTAGTACAGTCTTCTACCGGGCTCTACAGAATTTATACAAACCTTAGTACAGTCTTCACTGCCTCACAGATCTACAGCATAAGCAAACCCTTAGTACAGTCTTCACTGCCTCATGACTTACATAAACCTTACAGTCTTTCTCACAGACTTACATACAAACCCTGCGCTAGCCTTTTACATACAAACCTTAGTAATAGTCTTCACTGCCTCACAGATCAGCATACAAGCAAAACCTTAGTATGTCTTCACTGCCACATGTGACTTACATACAAACCTAGTATGAAATCTTCACTGCCCAGACTTCATATATAAACCTTTGTATGCCCTTACATACAAACCTTAGTACAGTCTTCACTGCCTCACAGACTTACATAAAACCTTAGTACAGTCTTCACTGCCTCACAGACTTACATACAACCTTAGTACAGTCTTAAGACACAAACCTTAGTACAGTCTTCACCGCCTCACAGATCTACATACAAACCTTAGTACAGTTCCCACTGCCACAGACTTACATACAAACTCCTTAGTATGTTCTCACTGCCACACAGATCTCACATATAAACCTTAAAGGCCTTTCACTGCCTCACAGACTTACAAGAGGATAAGGTAAACCTTAGTACAGTCTTCTGCCCTCACAGACTTACATACAAACCTTAGTACAGTCTTCACTGCCACATGACTTACATACAATCTTAATTACAAAAATATACTGGACAAAAATGCAAATTTTGAAATATGAATAATGATCTATTTATTCATTGACACTGATAAAATATCAATCATAAAATACCAATATCTCAAACTTATTTTGTCCAGTATACAAACCTTAATTACAAACATATTGACTTGTACAAACTTACATTGATACAGAGTTAATACAAACATATTGACTAAAATATTTTCAGCGCCACAGTTTCCATATTTATCTTCCAGTGCCATTAAGATAGATTAGTGCCATGGCTGCTGAAACTCCTTTACATGAACATGTTTCATGATAGCCAGACCAGTAGATGAATACTTTGAAATGAATAGGAAGTTTCAACTTTATATGTATCCTCTGGATCCAAATACAGTTTTTCAACAAAGTACCTGGGACCGCTTTCAGGCTGTTTGACTTCTCAAGAGGCCACCTCCATCTCGGGCATTGCCCACGGGTCCTGCAGCCTGGACCAGGCTGGGTCGCTGCGCAGCTGGTCGCCTCAGGACTGTTAAGGTCCTGGGCCTGCTGCAGCTGGTGCTCTACCTCCCACGCTGCAGAGAGTGAGAGTGAGTGAATGGAATGAGTTAGCTGAGCTGGTACTTGAGGGAGTGGAATGAGTTGCTGAGGAGAGGGAATGAATGAGCTGGCTGGAGGAGCAGGAGCGAATGAGGAATGAGTTAGCTGGAGTTGGCTGATGAGAATGAGTTGCCGGAGGAAGTGAGGAGTCTTGCTGAGTTGGACATGGCGAGTGAGTGAATGAGTGAATGGTGTTAGCTGAGTTGGCTGGAGCGAGCGGAATGAGCTGGCGGCGAGGGAAATGAATGACATTTGCTTTTGAGCAGGAGTGGAATGGTGTTAGCTGAGTTGGCTGAGGAGGAACAGCTAAAGGAGGAGGAGGGGTTCAGTCGAGCTATTGAGTGAGTGAGGAGGAATGAATGAGCTGGCTGCAGGAGTGAGTGAGGAGTGAGTAAAATGAATGAGCTACTGGAGGAGGAGTGAGGAGAGTAAGCGAATGAGTTGGCTGAGTTGGCTGAGAGCGAAAATGAGTGAGTGAGGAGTGAGTTAGTGACAAGTCATACCAGATACTGTCCCGGTTGTAAATGCCAGATGACAACCACACGATGCTATTCTCAGTTCTAGCTTTTCCGTTACAAACACCGCTCGACCATCGTAGGTAATGTCCTGTATCGCATTACCAGGACTAACAACAGCATAAATAGGCTAGCCCCACACTGTACATCTAAAAGTCAAACATAGCAGGCTAGCCATGAAGCATACATTCAGCTTATCAGAGGTTATCGTCTCTTTTGGCACCTCCTCTCTTGACAAAGAGGTTGATAAATACCGAAGGTCATGTCAAATGATAACATTATGGTTGGTCTGCAGTAATGCTATACAATTACATGGCTACTTATTCTGGATTAATATTCAATGATTTGCATTCAATCAAAGAGGCGGGATCATGTTTGATAATGATGTTGTGGTTACCTACCCTCAAACAAAGACTGACTGACTTAATTGATTGAGTTTGGGCTTTACTCTTTGTAAGAAATATTCCAGCAACATCAATGACGGGGAGCCACCAGAAATGGGCTTCACACATTGTACCCATGTTGGGATTCGGACCCTCAAGCCGTGTGACGAAAGAACGCTTTAACCACCAGGCTAACAACACCCTACCCTCAAACAAAGAAATCAACAATGACAATGTTGTTTTAGAGAATAATTTCAAATGGCATAAATGATGAGTAGCTGTAGTGGTCAGTGCCACAGTGACCAGTATTCCAGCTGTATCACAGCAGAGACCATACATCTTGTTCTGACGCTATGGAAAACGAATTTGCTAAATTAATCGAATCTACCAAACGCGGATAAGACTTATTTTCTAAAAATGTAAGACTGAGGAACTAAACGATAACAATTATTTCTAACAATGAGGAACTAGCAAGTAATTATGATAAATACCTATGTGGTAAAAACCAATGTGTGAAGAACTAACTGAATGTGTTAACTTTTGATGCAATGGAATTTAACTAATTTTTACTAACCCCTCATATCTAAATTCTAACTCTATTAATATTAATGTTCAAAACTGGCTGACCACACAAGCTTACCCAACCCCCTAATATCAACCTCTAACTTCTTTTTTACTAAATCAAAACCCCACTGACGGTCTGCTAATTTATGAATATCTAAACAACCGACTGACTTTCTAACCCAACTCTAAATTCACGCCTGGTGTCAGTGATGTTGAAAACCCACGAATTAAAATTCAAACATATGAAAACTGGGAGCCACACTGCAGGCAAATTCATGCAGCGTCAGTGTCTATGGAGA